AAAATAAACAACCAATATATGACAAATCATCATATTACCTATCACTTTTAGTTCGAAAATGTAAATTTAAATTTCGATTAAATTTATCTAAAAAAATGTTTTTTTTTTCAACTCATTTTTGAAGGAACTGAACTAGACCAAACGTTAAACTGAAACAAGAAAAATGTATTGTATGTTGCTATGAAATATATTAATTTAAATTTAATTTTGATATGTAAATTATTGATTTAATTGGGCTAAATAATACAAATTTGTTTGTACTTTGTATTGATGAAAAAAAAAAAATGAAAAAGGAAGAGAATCGATTGCAAAATATGCCATCACTTTTTTAACAAAAGTTTTTTTTGTTAACTTTTGAGTAGACTAGAAAGGAACTTTTTTCCTTTTTTTTGTTTCATTTTTTGTTAAACTAAAATTTTGGTAAGTTTTTTTTTTTTTGATTTCTGATTTTAAATTCAAAATGTTAGTGCATTTTAGTGATTATTTGATTGATATAAAAAGTTCCTTGATGGAGTTAAACATAAAAAGCTAAAATTGAAGTGAAATATTTTCTTACTGCATTTTAATAAATAAGAAAACAAAAAATTAATTATTAAAAATTATTAGTTTAAATTATTACAATGTTATGCTTAAATTAAGTTCCACAAATTGTTTAACTTTCAGTTTAATAAGTTCCATTTTTGGATAGCACCTAATATCTATAAATTATGCTATATAAAAGTACTCTTACTACCTAGGTATAGTGAATCATCTTAAGGTTTGCTAATTTTTTCATATGTACTAATAAATTTGAAATTAATTACTTTTCTACAAATTTAAAACTATTTATTGTAATATCATAATGCAAAGTGCTTGTGTTTAAAATTTACATTTTACGTTCTGATAAGTTTTAACAAGAATGAAATTTAATTTAAAAATTGAAAGAAAAATTAAAAAAAAGAAAGCTTTTCTTCCGATAGTTCATTTCATGACGAACAAATAGTATAGAAAGGAAAGTTGACATAAGCTTAAAATTTGAACTTAACTTCAAACTAAACAAATTAATACATTACACACACGCACGGACAACACATACACACATATATACAAATACATTCGTATAAATGAATGTGTGTAGATTTACTTCATGAAGAAAACATGGAAAGAAAAGTGAGCTTAAACTTGAACTTAAGTGCAAACTAAACTAATTTACACCACAGACACACACACACATACACATACACACACATACACACACACACACACACACACACACACACACACACACACACACACACACACATACATACAGATATTTTACACATAAAATAAAAATTATTCATGTTTATTTTGATTTTGCTTATTTGAACTAAGTGTTTTTCTATCTGCTCTCTTTTTTTTCACTTTTTCATTCATCCAAATATTTACACTTTTTGTTAGGATAAACAACGAGAAATAGTGATGACAAAGAGAGAGTAAAAAGGGGGAAGAGAGAAGCAGAAGAGAAGTTTAAAAATAAGAAAAGAAAAACAGAAACGAACATATGTATAAGTTAAAATTTGATTGCAAGATTGAACAACCTGATGATCAGTAATATTGTAAAATTTCAAATGAAATCATATATGAATGTTAAATGAAAATTGAAAAGACAGGGAGAGAGAAAAAAAGAAGAAAAAGTTGTAAGACTGATATAAATGATTGGATTATTATTAGAAATAAGTAGAAAAAAATGTATAAAAAAAAAAAAACACTCGGTTTTTTTTTCTTTCCTTTGAAATTAGTAATGAATAAATGTTTTAATTTACTTAATACAATAAATCGCTACTCTATTCTTTTAATTTAATTATTATATAGTTCCGGAATTATTTTTATCTGCTTATTAGTTTAATCATCTTATATCTAAACCTAATTTAAACATACGGTGAGTCGTATTGAAGAATTAGTCTATGTGAAAATAAAGTCCCTCATCGGTTTTTTTTTTACTTTTATGAATTCCGTAGAATTACTGAAGCAATTGATAAAATTTGTCCTGATATACATTTGTTAAAAAAGGAAAAAACGAGATGAGAAAATTTTTTGACTTATCCAAAAAAAGGAGGCTGGTAATAAAATTTTCAATTTTCACTTCAACTCGCTTACTTTTAGGCAATCAATTCTTTTAACAAATTTTGTTCCTTCTTTCTTTAATACCATTTTCAAAGTCAAAGCGATTTTTATGAATGTTAAGTTCAGTGAACTTTGCAATAACCGTTTTTAAATTTTAAATATTGCCAATAAATTTGTTATTCATTGAGGAAAATTCATTTAAGCAACAATTATTAATTATCTTATGCTTAATCAAAATTTAATAAAACTAACTTTTTTCCTTGTCTTTTAGTAATATTTTTCGAAAAAAGTTGTCACTTGAATACACCGGAAATCACGTGTCACAACAAAGTTAGTAGAATATTTTTGTTCAATTAAACAACCAAATCACGATAGGAAACAATAAGCACAATGAGTAACATACAACAATTGCGCCATTTTTATTTTATTTGCAATTTGATCAGATTTTCAAAATTGGTATTCATTTGTGAAAAATCCGAATGAAAGTTTATAAAATTTCATTTACTGATAAATTTTGAATAGAATGGAATGAATGGAATGAATAATAATTCTATGTGCTAAGAATGGATGATCATTTAATTTGGTATTCACTGTGAAAATTCCGGAAAAAATGCTAATGTTATGATCAATCCAATGTAATCATAGAATGCTAATGATTGATTAATATAATAGACATTTATTCAAATAAAAATTCATACAAAACATTTACTATTGTTGATACTAAGAATCCATTGAAATCTTTCTTAATTTGCTAATTTTCAATTAAACTTCTGCAGAAAGAAATTTAACTCTATCAAAAAATTAAGTTTTTTATTTTGAATTGCTGAATGTAACAAAATGCTCTATTGTACTATAATTCCTAAAGGAAACTTAAATCTTCATTTTGAGTAATAAAAAAAAAGAAAGAAAGTAAACATTCTTTTTTTTCATCAATCACTTATAATTAAAACTTTTTACAAAATATATAGATGAAAAGAATGATTTGTAATTATAATGTAAGATTTTACACGTATTAATAAAGAAATTTTGCTAAACGAACAAGATATTAAACGAGCTATTTAGGCATTAGAGATAAATTGTGAATAAACAATAAAATGCAAAATTTTTCAGTTAATTTTGATTTTCATTACCTGATATGATATGATATCATTTTACGATGATATTACGTGCAGGAGGAATGAATAAATGCAGTATTTTATGAGAAGGTGTTAAAATATTTCATCTTTTATCATCAATGACAATTATTGACAAATACTGATATAATTTGCGAGATTTGGCGTTTAAATAATGAAATTTTGCTATATATACGAAAGACGACTGAAATTTAAAGTACACATTTGCAAAACATTGGAAATTATTTCTTTCCTTCTTTTACAATCCATGGAAAAAGGTAAGATATATAGAAATTGGAAGAGTAACAAATAAGACTTTAGAAATGAGGTAGTTCTAGCTGTCAAAATCTGGACACTTCAATTTACTCCTTTCTTTCCAACTTCTCTTTGAAAATCCCATTACTTTTCGAAAGCTTGTTCTGACCGTTCTCTAAGTTTTGTTGGTAAGCTGATAAAAATTATGTTGAAATTCTTAATCTAGGCTGCCTTTTTTTGTGTTATGTACTATTTATCTTTGAACTAAATCCTAACTTCCGTTAATCAAAAAATTGAAAATAATCACCGAATACAGAAAACATAGACTAACTAACCTTAGGAATTTAATCCTATGTAAAATAATGCATACTATCAGAATAATGTAAAGATCAACCAAGAGCATGGGAAAAGAGGGACACAATATAAAAGAAAGGAAAACAACCCCAATGAAATTCTATTTATGCAAATATTTGAATTTCATCAAGAAATCTAAAATAAAAGAAAAAAGAAAGATAGCACACTAGCGTAATCTAACAAAATAAAACAAAATCAAATCTGAATTTCAAATTTCATGAAAACTGCTTTTTAAACTTAAAAACCCTGAAAAAAAAAATGCTAAAATTCTTGAAATGATTCAGAAACAATCTTTCACAGCATTTTTCAAATATCACATTAACATACATACAATACAATCCGTCGTAAAAATGAAAGCAATTCACAACTATGACAAAGAATTTTCAAATGATAGGGTATATTTCTTGCTACACTTAGAAGCAGATAGTTATCAAAATGATGATAGACAAAGAGGAGGACATGGTAACCCTGGCTGATATTGTCTCACCTCTTTAATATGCATTGCGCAGACCAGATAGCCTGGGGAGGATATTCATTAGGATCGTCATAGAAAACATTCATCTCCAAATGTACCAGAAACGTAATCTTGAATATCTTTCCGGTCTCGTGACTCGTGAACAAAACATAGCAGCAATCGGAATATGTAAGCATATGAATGAATTAAATTTAGAACAGAAGAAGAAAACATATACAATCTTTAAAAAATCTAGAAAAATGTACAATTTGATGTGGGAAACAAATAAAAAATCTATTTGATTAATATCATGTTTTTTATATATGGTGAGCATTAGCGCAAAAGCGCAAGATCCCAGCTATACTATATCTTCTACTTCATCAAATTTTGAAAAATTTGCACAACTTCATAATTTTTAAAAACATTCAACACCTCAACCAATATCAAATTAAAAGCTATAACTCTGGATTACAAACAACATCATAAGTGACTAATCAGAAACATCAATCGGACAAAGTAATGAAATTAGTTTTACTACGGTAAATCACATTCTATTATTCATCCTTCCATAATCTTATACTTATCTAACTGATAGCTTATAAATCATATTATGTTTTTAAGCCACATTACAAGAGAAAAATGTAAACTCCCATTATTACTAATTTCTTTCAAAATGACTAAAAAATTTAAAAGAAAGTTAGAAAGCCTATTAAATGGTCAAAATTTCAAATAGCAACATATTATTGTAATATAGTAAGTGCACGAATTTGCCGGTTCGAGCAACTGTTAGAAACTGGCACAGTTATGCGATCTCGGAACTTCCAGTCGGTTATACTTTGCAACCGGAATGTTACAGGCGGTCGATTTAACCGGCGTTCTGATAACGGTGGCTCACTTGCATTACGCCCATCACCGCGACCTTTCGCTTCAAAACTACCAACCAGACTTTTGACCATATTTACAGCACACCGTTCATTTTTAATACGAGAACGTGTAACTTCCACATTCTAAAATCAGAAAAATGCAGATAATTCTATAAGTAAACATTATTCATTATAAATATTACTATCTAAAAAATCGAACAAACTTTGTGCTTCTCAAAACATAGAATTTGTTGGACACATATAAAACCTCCTTGCTATATAGATATAAATCTCAGCTCTTCCTCTGTTAGTCAACAAGCGTTTTATTAATTATCAATACTGTCACTGAATAAGGTCTCATTTGTAAAGATGACTAACGAAGCAAAAAAGATGCTACATTCACTAAATTCGACGTTCAGAGAGACCAAACTGAAACTCACATCCATAACATTTCTATCATATTTGTCCAAAATACGACGGAAACGAACTGAATCAACAGGATCAGCTGATGTTGACGGTGTAACATCAAATTGATTTCTTTTCTTGAAAGCGTGTAACATACCTAAATTAGCAATTGTAAAATACAAATAAGTAACATGGCATTAATCTGTATTAATGATAATTACTATATTTCGACTTCTGTTGGAACTACATTTAATGCGATAGAAATCACATTATCTCTCAAAGTATTTATTTCAAACCATTTCAAATAAAATGCCTTTGAAAAAAAAGTTATCTTATTTCTTTTTGCTTCCATATTTTTAATGCAAAGCCTATATCATTTCTCATCTCCTATGAATGATTAAATCAGTAAAAAGTCACCTCTTCATTTTATTATGTTTTTTTTAAAAAAAAATCAGAATTAAGGACTAATACGTATGGTTATACAGTCAAATATAAATTTTAAATTTGCCTTGCAGGTTACCTTCAAACGTTCTAAGTTGCTCCACAAAACCAATATTTGGCGTAATACAACCTCTCTTATTTTTCACATGTTCCATTGCCTGCGAAAGTGCCCATCCATATTCCTAGTAAAAGGAAAATACTAATTACTAAAAGAATTGTAGAACTATAGGTATCATCATTCATTTAGGATGTTACAGCATCCTGTAAGACTGCAATAGCTTCTCTAAAATGAATTTAAGTCTTTCACTAACCGAAAAAGTAAGGAATGTAAAATATATCATAAAAGTAAATATGAACAAATGTTATACCTTCATTGCGAAAGCTATCACTGTAGATGACGACCGACTGATGCCTTTTTTGCAATGCACTAATACAGCACCTCCTTTTTCTCTTAAAAAGATAAATGCAAAAGCGATCAAAAATATTCACCAAAAACATTATAAAAAGAAGAAATCTAAGTTTAAAATTAAAAAATATTAAATCCTTACTTTGCTTCTTTAATAAACTGATTTGTTTGATTCCAATATTTCAATAATTCAGTACTAGCCTCATCCGAGACACGTATTTTTAGATATTTTAAACGAGCAGGGAAAAAATTCTCCACCTCGTTCGTTACGTTAACAATATATTTGATTCTAAAAAAAGTGAAGTGCTATCAGAAATTAGCTCATATGCAAAAGCATATTTTTATGTCTCGTTAACATTGAAGCAAAATTGTGAATTGTAAAGCTGTAATTCAAATTCTTTACGAAAATAAGACTTATCATTATTAAATTTAAGTTTTGTAAGAAACTTATTAATCTATATCAAATCAAAGTTTATGATATTATATAGTACTCTTAAAATGAACTTACATACCCATTATTTTCCAGCCACTGCCAATCGCATGCATTCCACTCAGTACCCAAATAAAGATAAGGAAAAATCTGTGATGCTCTATCCATTTGTCCCATAATAACCATCATTTGGCGACTGATAAAATCTTTGTATTTGTCCAGTTTCATATGCATACCTTGTTCTACCTGAATAATTCACCGTAAATACTAAGTTTCAAGTGAGAAAATATGCACACTGTTAGTCTATCACAGGTAATTACAAAGGAAAAATAAATTTAAAATTACCTTTAAACGGATATCTCTACTTGTAACTTCATCCAAATCCACAGTTTGCATCACTTCTTTTAATCGTTCATAAATTAGAGCTTTCACTGAAAAGGATATAACATTGCAACTAATATAGATGGTCATAAAAACAAATATAATCATTGATAAAAATTTTATTTCAAAAAAAAGTGATTACCGGAATCATCATCGCTTCGATAATCATGACTGAGTCGCTCAGCATCCGCACTTGTCGCACCCAAATCGCTACTGGTTTCAGTGGTATAATATGATGTCGAACGCTCCCTTCAAATTTTTGAAATTTTGAAAAAAATAAGTGGTGCAATTCTTTTTTACAAAAAAAAGATCCGAAAAGCTAAATTTAATGGAAGCAACCAATTTTAATGTTTCCAAAGCTTAATGAAGAATCAAATCAGCTTCCCCAATACGCCTCTCTTCCCCATTACTTCGTATTTTTTAATTTGTGAAGTTGTCTGCTTCTTTATAACTAGAATAAGGAGAGAAACATTTTGTAGCGAAGTCGTTACTGCAATTATTTTATACTCTCAGCAATAAAGAGAAAAATTAACAGTTTGATATTACATGCAAGAAAGAAACTGTGAAATTTGCTTTGCTTCAAGAAGTAATCTTCAAATTTCTATTCCACATCGCTTTCCGATTAACTCATTCCGGTTTTTCTCGATAAGAGGAGAAGCCACCATATACAACACACTGGGTTGAATAGAAACAGGTTTGATGATGAATCAAAGTCAACAATTATCACAATTGAGAAAAATATTACAACTATAGTAACAAACCACATCGTGATTATTGCATCATCCGATGATACCTGTTCACTGTAATAATCGATTAAACGCTTCGTTGCTTTTCCAAATTGTTGCGCTGAATTTTTTGCATTTTGTGCATCGATTAATTCCTACAAAACATTCTTCAATAACACAAGATCATAGTGCTTAGTTTGACATGAACCACACACCAGATAACTGACCAAATTCAAAAGCAATTTCAAAAATTCAAATTGAATTAAAAAAAAAAAAAAAAACACCGAAAGCATACTTTATGCAATCTTTGGAACATGGTCCACATAGCCTGAACAGAAACAGGCCTAAATATATGTAATGATGAATCAAAATCAACAACCACACCACCGTCACCATCTAAACTTACTCGAGTTGAAGCATAAACCGGAATGGTCACACCGATCCTACAATGCAACTTATTTAAAGTGACTAAAAATCACTAAAGCTCAACCACTCCTTGCATGTATGATCCATGAATTTCCTTATTTGATATATACTGAGAGCAAAAAGAAAAAGACACAAAATTTACAACAAGTAATACAAAGCAGTCAACTTACGCGACTTTATTATTTGGAAGACAATCAAGACCCAGCAAAACAACTTCTCGGACATTCTGAAAATTAATCTCCTGATGGCGTGCAGATGATACAACAGCTAAATAACGAGCATGATTTATTGAACTGATAGCCTCAACAGTGGCTGGCTGTAATCTTACAGCCATTGTAAGATTATCATGAGGAGGCAATATATTTAGTATTGCTTGCAAATGTTCTTCAATTTCACCTGAAATATTAGAAAAACTATGAAAGAGGCATTACAAATGAAGTTTAAAACAAAAAAAATCAATTGTTCAAAGTGAAGTATGCTTTTGATAAGGAAAATTTCCATAGCTTACCTAAAATCATTCTCTCCTCTAATACTTTTTGTGTATCTTCTACTTCTATGTCATGGTTTGTCTCTTGTTCACTATGGCCAAACATTTATGTACTTATTCACTGTGCCAAAATTTAGTCTTATGTCCATGAAACCACATTCCTTATTTATCATACAAGCACATAATTTAAGTTTTCTAAAAACTTATTTTTTCATTATATTGACTCGAACTGTGGAATAAATTTAAAATGAACACTTACCACCAGTATTATTACGTCCAACATTTGTACGATCAGGTTGCAACAAAATCACCGCAGTACCTTTGACGTAAAAATAACATTCTGTACTCGGAATTGGCCCTCTGAATGTCGGCGAACCACATTCTGTTGCATCGATATCCTGAAGAATATTAAAAACATAAATATTACCTTTATGCTGAAAGAAGATTTCGTCAAAACGTCAAGAAATCAAAACTTACTGCGGTAAACACATAAAATTTGTTATATCTCCCGAATTTCCTCCGAGTATTAATAAAAATGATAAATAAAACTTCAAAAACAATATATTCGTTACCGTCTGATCTAAATTTCCAATTTCACTTGGTGTCGGTGAACGCTGCACCGTTACCAGTGACATTCTCAAATTAAATCTGAAATATTTACACCAGTAACACTTAGCAAATTTAAAAACATATGTCCATTATAGTTGGGTAAAAAAAATAATGCAGCACATGAATGCATATAACCATATTTAATCTTATATTTTTATTATAACATTATGCTGACTTACCTGAAAATGTAGATCCAAAGACAAATTAAATTTAATCAGTACAGAGCAACCGATAGCATAACTTTATACTTATTCTTTGGGTGAGAGTAGCGGGAAGGGTGTTCATTTTTATAAAAGAGAAAGAATGAGATATATTCCTAATCTGTTGAAAAGAAACTAAACAAAAAAGACCCACTGCAACATGTGACAGACAATTAATAGTCAACAGTTTCGAATGTTTTAAACTAATTATTACTACAAGAGACTAGTAAATGTTTGTACTACATGAATGAATGGGAAGAATTAAAAATAATACAGAAGGAGAAGTATTAGGAACTTCTGTGAAGTAACAAACAAATTAAAATCAAAAATCTTTTTCTAAAAGCTGATGAGTCAAAAAAAGTTCAAAATAAATTATAGCATATCACATTTTTATATGTAGCATATATTATTACGATGCATAATACATACAAATAACATCTGCTAAGTGTGCTATACGTAATTTTCTACGCACAAAAGCGCACGCTTAATATACACTAAGCTTATTATATCTATGTAAAACTATCTCGTTGCAAAATATTGCTAATGTATACCAAATAAAAATGCATTTTCTCATTCTGATGTATCACTAATACCTAATATATACTTTACAAAACTTTGCAAATGCATTGAATGTTTTCAGAAAACTTTGACCTCGCAAACCAAAAAAAGAAAAAAGTTGAAATAATTAGAAACCATAAAGTGCTAGGCATCAATCTGATGAAACACACTCGAAGTAAGCATATAAATATGAAAATATTAATGCATTGGACGACCGCGAAATAGCAATGAGTCCAAACATATTGACGTGTTTATCAAATTTGAAGAGTTTTTGAGAGAATTAAAATGATATGAAATGGTTAGGTAAGAGGCTATTGCATAACTGAGGATAGTGAGTTAGTCATCGTGATGCATTGACATGTGAGTATCAATTAAGCATCACTGAAAATCAAATAATATTAGAGGATGTGAGAGATTTAAATTTCTTCAGAAATATCAAATATCGCACCTTTTTTCTGCTAAATGTAAATTTATTTCCTTTTGTATCATGTATTTTTGAAAACACTTTATTGATTTTTACTCACACTTGTTTTATTTTACTTCAGCTTTTACTTCTTTAAGTTATTTTGATGAGAAATTCCTTCCGCTTTTTAATTTTATGCTTATGTTTTATTCTCTAACAAAGACTCTTTCTGTTTGTGTGTGATATAGTTTCCAGAAAAATGAATCAAGCATTAGATATCATTTTGGTAGAGATATGACCTTAAATGAAATATTTATATTGGTATAATTTCCAAAGAATTATACCATTTCAACAAGAGGTGAGGCAGTTGAATCACTTGCCTTGTTCAGTTCCGATAATTCTCTAAAATTATACTGTACGACAAGTAGTAACAGTATTTACAGCATAGCAATAGTAAAATTTACAACAACTATTCCTCAAAATATTATTCGCATCCATTCCATGGATCAAACTTGCTAATTTTTTCAGCATAACAAGCTTGTTACTAACACGATGTATAAAGAAGCAGCTATCTTCTAATTTGTTAAAGAATCAGATATCTTCTAATTTAAAGAACCAGATATCTTCTAATTTGTTCTCTCACTCTGATACAAGATTGCAAGAATGAAGCTCATAATGTCAATCACCAGATCTCACAGTTGCTTGATTAACTTATTATTCTCGAAGAATAGCTCACAGTGTCGTAAAATTAATCCTTCACGAATAATTTCAATATTTCAACATAAGTTAGTAAGATTAAGTAATGCTGTTTCATTTGAGGATTCTGATGCATTATCAGTTTACCAAACCGCTAATTGAACACACATCGCAGATCGAATTTTTTATGTAAGATATTCAAATTTATCACTAATTGTTACATCACCGATGCGCACAAAATCCACTATTGTACAAATAAATTTAAGCAATTTTAAGGAAAAAGACCATTTTTCTACAAATTCCTGAAAGTACCGTACACTATATAAAGTTATCGTATTATATATATAATGGCCATGAACCAAAAATTATATTATCTTTTTCCTTTACAAGAAGCACTTAGTTAAAATCAAATTATATTTAATCATTTTTCTAAATACAAATAAAAGTTTATCTCATGTGTGCTAAAGAAAATCACTGAGGGTTTTAAGCTATACCCATAAATTAATTAGAAGTTCATTTAAGTCCCGAACTTCATGAATTTTTAACATTATTTTACAACTTTTTGTCACTCCCTCAAAATTTTACATTTGCAATGATCGAAAAAAAAATGTGAAGCTTTTTGATTCTTCTAATTCATAATCGTATAAACGAAAACTACAACCTCTATTCAAAAGAATTTGTCATGTCAATCAAGAAAGCTCATAACAATATTCATCTCTTACTCAAACTTCATACATAGACTGACCTGAGATGACACTGACAAATCCCATTAGAAAAAAAATCAGTATATTCCAGCAAACATTTTTATATGCTTTTTTTTTTCAAATTATGAACTAAAATTACATGACAATAAATAAAATTGATTATATAAAAAGTAGCCCTTTTTGCTTGAACTAAATCGCAATTTTATAAACAAAAGATTTTTGGATAAAAAACTAAATGGATGCATTAGCAACTTGTCCAACTCCTCCTCTGACGTCCGTATTCACAGCATCCCTCGCTTCATAAAATAGGATGTATGCAGATTCACTGTTTTTTTGTACACCACATTCCGAAAGACCGAAAAAATCCTCAATCGCCATAGGATCAATTTTCTACAAATCAGTTATTTTTTGCAACAGATACAAAAACTTAAAGTTCTTATTTTTTCCTATCATTGAAATCTTTGAAAAATAACGCCACATCTTTCTCCAGAAAACCTTCGTACTTTGACATCCTCGAAAATTATAAAATCACTTACATCGACTATATCGTCATCGAATAGAAGCCAAAAATTATGTGACTTTACAAGTGTAATATAATGGCCACGATTTGGAGTAGAACCACAGTGTACTACAACTGCACATAAATCATATAGACGATCCCTGTTCACTGCATCATCACTCTAAACAATCAGTAAGATAATGAAAGTAAAAAAAGGACATATTTTCAAGAAACTGTGCAGCCGAGAGATTCCGGAATGATATCACTCATAACTATAATTACCTCAAACTTCTGAATCAACCTAACATCATTTGAGAACCATAAAATATGTATTTTCATATCTTACAGAAGTTCCAGGTTTTAATATCTTAAATATAATCTAAATCGTATTTTTCTAAAAAGTCTTACATGAATCATTCAGTCTTTCTAAGAATGCATTGGATAGTTCTATGATAGTAGTTCTCTTCCCTATCATGAACTTCTAACAAATGCTAAGATAGAATGATGAGAATTATTAAGTTTAATGATCTCGAAGAAATATACCCTCATCTCTCAGCATGCTACTATTTCCTCAGTTTTATTTTTCAACAAAAAGAAAATAAATTTAAATATAATCAACTCGCCACATTGAAAAGACGTAATTCGAGTGGAAACAACACTCGATATGATAATTTCGTATGGCGATTCATTTGCTCCACGTATTTAAACCGTTTCAAATGCAATGCCAACATTTGCGGCAATTTTTTAATGCGCATACGTTTTTGAGCCTATAAATTGTTGAAATTTCTTTCATAGATTCAAGTTGTTGTTATAAACAGAAAGGGAAAAGCAAGTAATGAAATGTGAAATATGGAAGAAAAATGATAAAAAGAGGCAAGTAATACTTCATGCTTTGAACAGCAATTTTCACAATAATATTTCTGTTCTCCTTGTAATGTTTCCATATCAGAAAAGACACGTAAACAATGTGTAATTGATACATTCTGCTCAACATCAACGCTTAGATCCAAAAAATCTTCATCTTTGCTCGATACCTAAACAATAAAAAGATGATTATATTATTTCTTTTGATCAAAAAATCTGCTTTCCTCCTATAATGATCTTTACTATATGTTCTAGTTGTTGAAGGTATCAATACCACTTATTCATTAGAAAATCATTCATCACTCCTTACATCATCCTTTTTAATTCATTTCTGCAGGATAACAAATGTATTTCATTTCTGATAAGTTACAGGCATTGAAAATCAAATCAACAGTTAGTTCTTCTTTCGGAAATAACATTATAACTATAAGAGGTTTAGAAGACATAAAGTTTTGGATCGGTTATGAAGGAAGAAAAAAAATTATACAACAAATTACATTTTAAATTAAAAATCAGAAGAACTGTAAAGAAATCCAAGTAATTAAGCCTTCACAGAATAAAAGTTACCATTCTGTTGCCATGTTAAAAAGTTCGTTAAATCAGCCGATGATAACCGATTCTTTCAGAATTACAATTATAAATATTCTTAATACTTGACACAGTTTTCAAGTTGCTCCAAACTCCCATATACAATATAAAATCTGTGTCATTTTCAGGGTACGGTTCTAGAAATTTGACTAAAAATTCTCTTGAAAAGATTCAAAATGAAACAAAAAAGTGCTTATTAAAACAAATTAATAATAATAAATTACCGTTTCACAATTAAGGCAGCGTGTTTCATTAGTTAAAGTTCCTTGGAAAATTTCTTGAATCCATGTAGCATCACTTTTTGAACCACTCAAATTGAGCCAGATTAATTTGATCTTATTGCTAAGTATGCAAACAAATTCTTTTTTACATTTTTATTAGTATTTTGATTATGAAAATCTCAACAGAATTTTAAGATTAAAAATGGCATGAAAATGAAAAGCCAAAAAAAACTTTACCTTGGTTGACACAATGTTAATGGTTCGTACGGTGGAAGGACAACATTGGAGCCTTTCTTCGTCATTCCGTTTGTACGAATCATTTTTTCCATTTTTTCTGCTTTTTTCTCTTCAGCTAAGGTTTCTGATATAGTATTTAGCAAATAGTTCAGGAATTCGTGGGCGTCTTGTTGCGAAAAATTATCAAATATACCTGAAATAATGCATATATTAGTCCCCAAGTCTTTGCATCTTTTGCTTCTTTCGTGAAAGCTCAATCATCAAAGAAAAAAGAGGCAGTGCTATTCAGCAACATTTTGACTATTTTAAGCTACCAACAAAAAGCAAAAAATTCCGATGTTTTATGGAAAACATAATTTAATTCCTTTCATGCTTAATAAGCTAACATTAACTGTAGCATAAAACGCAAATATAAAATGATTTTTAGCAAATTTTCAGCATTTCAAGATACAAAAGTCGCCGATTTCTTTAAAAAAAAAAGAAAAAAAAAGAAAATGTAAAAGACAATAATGGAACTAATCTTTCTCGTTTGCAACAGTATTTCACCAGTATAAAAAGCGGATATAAACATAATGTGTACTTGCCATTTTCTTTTTTTAATTTTGTGATAAATCTTTTCGGAGCAATTGTGCCCACTCGTTTCTTCTGCGTTGCTATGTTATGGAAAAGGTCAGCAAGACAAGTCAGTAAATTTTCTTTTTCTCTTCCTAAAATCAATGAATCCGAAGAAATAAAAAAATTTGTAAATGAAAAACCATAAGAGGACATATGATTAATTACAAGAATCTTAAAATGTCAAAAAATATCTGCTTAATTATCCCAAATAAAATGCTGATTTGTATTATAATGCTGTATGATACAACCTGATTCCTTATCATATTTCTTCAATTGTTGTTTATACTGCAAAATTTTTTCACGGAATGGACGGCAAAAATAAAGCGCCTGAATAACCGAATTGCAATAACAGGTATTACCGAACTGAAATAAATAAACACAAATAAATTCATCAAGAAATAAAGGTCTAGATTAAATACTGAGAAAATTCTCACACATTACTCGCACTTAAAAACATTACTTCCTTATTCTGGCACGTGAATTTAATCAAAAATTTCAACTAGCATTTTTTTTTTTCACTTTTATTTTTTTTTTTGCAAAAATAATTTTAACACAAACATTGACCAGTCCATAGAAATGATCACTGCTCAGTAAATGATCCGAACCGATTTCTTTTTCTAGTTGAGATGAAGCGTTTGCACCCTAAAATAAATCAGTACTTCAAAAAGCATGATTTGATGTCTTAATGCACTTTTGTTCATACTTTCTTCAAAAATAATATTACGTTTTTTTTCAGCTTTTGTTCAACAAATGTGAACAAAATGATGTGAACAATGGAAATGATGTGAACAATGGAAAGTCTAATGATAAGCAAATGCAAGGATGAGGAATTTCGTGTTACATGAGTATGTGTAGATATAAGTGCAATGTTTCATTCATTACTTATCTCTGATAAAGACATAATTGTTTGATTTCCTTGAATTGGGAAATCAAAAAGAAAAAACAGCTTCTTTTCGCTAATATTTGATAAATATGTAACCTTCCGATTAAAACCTTCCATTAAAGCCATCCTCCTATAACTCTTCAATTTATAACTTATTTCGAATTAAATTCACATGATATTTAGTGAGAAAATAATTATATATGAGAGAAAAAGAAGAAAGAAAAAGGAAAGAAAGACACAAAAAAAGGCAAACCATGGTCACGAAGGATAAATTGAACAATAGAATTAACACAGCAATTTATTTTCGTTGTTTGCAATTATCTTTAGCTCTTGACTTTTAATCCATCCACTCTTAGCCTTCATCTTTCAAACAATTTCATCTTGACCAGTACTCTAAAAATTCAATATCTCAGTATCATTACACGCTCTACAATCTATTCTTTAACAAAATATATAATGATTCTTGACCCGCTAATCAACCGATTGTAATGTCAGATATGTACAGCTTTATTTCACACATCAAATTGTATGTAAACAACACGATGTATCTTAAATTCTCTCTCCAAATTCTCGACAATTGTCTCATCTAATATCACACTTTCTACACATATGAGAAAATTTGTTTATAGAAATATTTGATGTACACATTATAATCACATTATCTCCAATAAATTTATGTTTGATAAATTTAAAAAAGAATACAAGAAGCAATAGCATGGTTACCGTAACAACAAAAACTACCCAATAATTGTATAGCTATACGTTGTAAATAAGTAACTAACAAATTGTGAGCAACGTACACGTTACGACTTCAAACATACCCAGTCTTTTTTTTTTTTTTGAAGTACCAATTAATGACATAACATGATGCACACACCGTAAAATACCACCCGGGCAAAATTGTTATAAACTAAGTGAGGAACTGATGAGAACTTAAGAGAAGTTTGAGGTTTATACACATATGTCAGTAGATCTAAGGTCATTCGTTGTTAGCATTAAGACTTTATATTGAAGCTTTTATTACTGGAAGAATATAATTTAGCTATACTGATATGAAGTAACATGAAAGCACAAAAATCTCTCGCCATACTTACTTTCTTCTCTCTCTCTCCCTGTTCGTTCATTAAAATATGCAAAATGGACGATGTTTATACTGTTAATTGTTTATTCGCTGAACATTTTACATTATACTGTTAATTTATTGAATATCGAAAAATTATATCTCATAAATATTTGCCTAAAAAGTATAGAAATGAGAGAGGAGAATTGAGTATTCATAGAGCAATACAAATTCGAACTTTCCTTTTTCATCCAGTCATTCTTTTCTTGAACATAGAAAGAAGGCAGAGGCGTATGTGTTGCTATGTTAATAGATTAAGCTGAAAAAAAAGAATCCTCCTGACAATTTATCAGTCATTTCGTTATAGATGTAATGCAGTAAGTTGATTCCAGATTTAGATGTGTAAAAATAAAGTCCAACAGAAAGCAACAAAACAATAATCACAGACAAAAATTTAATGTTAACATTATCTCCTAAAATCGACCACTGTAATAACTGGATGGAAATTCGACCCGATATTGTCCTTCACCTTGTGCAATTGCCAGATAACCTGCATTCGGTACCACATTCCATCTCAGTACAAGAGTTACATTTTTGTGATTTAGTAGATTGGTACCATCATCCATAAAGTAGTATTTTGGTGTAATGCTCTCTTCGTGTATTGCCGACCAGTCGCCACGTCTCAAGATTTTATCCCAAAGTACAATCTGCATGAAAATTTGTGTAGAAGTAAAAATTCACTCTATTACAATTATTCTGAAAAATGTTCCAATATATTACATATGTTATCTTAAAATTATAATTTTTTTTTTCTTAAGCCAATATTTGCCATTCTTCAATTTTACAACGAGTGTTTACATGTCCTTAATCTGATACACTCTTTTTCTGACGTATCTGCTAAGGTATGTGCCTCCTCCAATTACTGCCATTATAAAATCTAGCTTACATAACTTCTTCACATCGGATATTTGCCCCTGACACAGTTCTCTTACTTCATGGAAATACGAATAAATAGTATAAGGAACTGCAAAATCTGTAATGTGGTTAAACTCACAAATGTTTAAGTAAAATAATCCACTGAGAAATTAACTACCATCTCATTCCCCTACCCATTACTCTCTCATTCTCTTTCCCTACTCCAACTTTAAAAATATGCACCTCATACATTCTTTCTGATGAATACCTACTAATTCTATCTTCCTCGAACTAATACCCTATTCTCATTACTTTTACTTGAATGTCTCCTTATGCTAATAGATGCAACGGAAAAATTCTTTTCCTATACAACAGAAAATTTCATTTTCTTTTTTAAATTTGGTACCTGATTAAGAGGTGCTTTTGGTGTACTGTACTCTGCTACAAGGAATAAAAAGATCTCTTTAACATTCCAATTAAATATGGGAGCAACATCAACTTTTATCTTCAGGTCTGCCATTACTACATCACTTCGTGAACCCTCTGAGGCATAATCTACGAAATTCTTCCTGAAATCAAACTCGATATCCTTGTTTAAGAACTGGTTTCTCAAATTTACAAAATATTCTGCAATTACTAGATAAAATCTAAATGAAGTCACAGTGTAAAGTAGGGACTTCAGAGAAATGACTAACAACCCATAAGTAAAATATGGTACTATACCTTTGGTAAAATAAACTTTTTGTTTGGCATATAACAGCTACTCTAAGTAGACATTAAAAAAAATCGACAATAAGGAACTTACACGCGAATATTACTCGCTGATAAAGTAACTGGTGCCGAGTTCGGTAACCAAACAGTGGACACGAAAACGCAAAACGTTAAGGCTGATAAGACAGAAAGAACAAACGCAAATATCGCATTAGCACGTGCCCAGGCCGTATGCATTATGCCTAATAATACATATTCAGTGCAAATTAAAATGAGAATTATGCATAAAAACGAATAGTTGAAACACGCACACAACTAGTCAAGCTTAATCAGATGTCAATATAAAGGTCGTCTACACTTCACATTTCAAGTTATTGTTAATCTTGTACTGCACTGAAGTTATATAATTATAGGACTATGAAATTTAATATACTATGCAATTGGTTTCTTTTCATTTTGATATTTTCTTGATTTTCCATTCATAATTTTAAGCACAATCCAGGAATATTTGTTCAAGAAAATTGAATCATTTAGTAAATGAAAAGGTAAATCACAGAAACATAAATAAATGCATCCGAGCAAATAAATATACAAATTGGTAACAGCTGTATATAAATGGATAGATGAAGAAATTTTTTATAAAATCCGTGTTTTTGAACGATAGGTAATAACAAAGTATCAAATCTTGAGCTTTTTATTTTTTATAGGCGCAGAAGTAACAATATCAATAATAAACTTAATAAAATTAAAAATATGTACAACTTTTCCCATCATTTTTCCAAAGATCTATCATTATGATTGTTTTATGTAGTTAAGATCTTCTCATAATTTTTTGTAAATAAATTATGGATAGTGATGAGTAACACAAAGTCAATTTAGTCGATGTATCGTTTTAAAATCTTTTAACCCATCCAAACGATCCAGTTCATGCCACCATGTCTGCAAAAAATTGTTTCGAACAATCAAATTGAACCATGGAGAGAATGAGGCCTCACTACCTGGAATGAAATTCACTGAGGAAAAATAAAAAATAAATATAGTAAAAACATTAAACATTAATCGAAAATCAGAAAACCGATGAAATCACCACATATATACCATATACAAACCGAATGTACTTTATTGAAAAACAGTGAAGTTCACAACAAAAATAGCGTGCCCTTGAATAAATACTCTAGAGTTCAAGGAAAGGCAAAAATACACTTTTCAAGATTTCAGTGAGCTCCTCCATTGATGAAACAATAGCTACTGCTTCAACTTCTTCCGGATTTGGTCTAATTTGTTTGACATTACAACCACGTAGAATAATAACATAGTCAATCTCATGTTCGCCCCAATTGTCATCATGCATTGCTTTATATAAAAAACGACCCATGACCTGAATTAAACACATACCTTTATGAAGCTTTATAAAAATGATAAATAATTTTTTAACTGAGAATTTAAAGTTAAATTAAGTGTATGTAATGCTCTGTGATGTTGTGTGTTATGTTAGCTTCAATAGAGCATTAAATTGCAGCAAACTTTATTTAGTCATTAGTGTGATGATAATAGCAAAGTCCAGAATTTACTAAAAAACTAATTTTCAAATTTTCCTACCTTCATCTGATCAATATCAACAGACTGAATGCCTAATTCATGATTAAGTTTCCTTCTGGCAGCCCGCCGAATTCCAACATTATTCTCATCAGTGCACATTTCATCTTCGTTCCACAACGGATGACTACAACACGCATTTGTCCACACTGATGGAAATGTCAATTTCTGAACAGCACGCTTCTGCAGGATCATTTCGTGGTTTTCCGTAAAGAGAAAAACGCTAAACGCACGATGCAGGGTTACTGGAAAGGAAAATAAAACTCGCAAAAAAACCTATGAGCAATATCAATAATTATTTACAATATAATGAACTTAGTTCCCAATGATTCTCATGCTTCAATAAGAATAATATTGAAACAATGTCTTACACTTATAAACTAACCCCAAGTTTCAACGAAGCCTAAAAATTATGTGCATGTACTGACTAGCAAATGCCAAACAGCTGAACAAATCATAGTATAACTAGCATTTAGACTAAAATAGTAGAAAAATTATCTAAGACAGACTCCCATTCAGTAATACTGTCAGTAATTTTCCACCAGAAAATCAAATACGTACAATACTGAATTCCCTCGAGATATTCTATGAATACCCAACAAGCATAAAAATGTACTCTGAAAACACGAATTTCTTTAAAGTTGAATTGTTATCTATTCATAAAGAAAACATAAATTACCTATGACAATAACTTACATGTTTTGGCTGAGTGACAAAACCGTTTGGATTCAGATCGCAAAGGTTTATCATTCTCATCAACAATGATACAGTGTTCATCCAAATAATTATTCTGCACATTTAATACTGCTGGTCTGAATAGATTATTCTTCTGCCTGCAGAAACACAGAGAAAAAAAGCATGCTTTGGAAATTCACAAGAAATAACTTGCCAAACTCAATGTACTTTTATAAACCACATTCAAAATAATGGAGTTGGATTTATTATACTCAAAAACCATAAATAACTTGGAGGATCAAGATTTATAAAAAACAAGCACGCTTTTGTTTTTTTTTTTTTCAAAATGGATGATTGTCAAGAAATTTGATATTCTGAATATTAGCTCTCCGGTGAAATTATTTTACATGTTATGAGAAGCAAATTTATCACTGTTCGACATTGAAATAAAGGAAATTGTTATTCCATTTACGTTTTACAGAATGTATAAGAATGCAGTTTTCACCAACTGTCCCAAAAACCACTATACACTCGAACGTTAATATAACTCTGTTAACATATTTTATTAACTAAATTTCACCGAATAAATCATCCATATACTTCTAATTAGATTCCTTTACTACATACGTTACATAATAAGAGTGGAAAGCTATCAGAGTAAATTTTAGAAAAATAACACTTACTTCAAAAGTTTAACCAATGATGACATCCCAAACCGTGTTAAAACTCTCCAAAAACGACAGGTTTCTGAAACGAACAGGGTAAAATACCGGCAATCCTTTTTAAATGCTAAGTATCAAAGTTTACGAAAATATGAATGTCGAATTTGTCAAGAAACACTATCATCCGATATAACACATCCAAAAGATTTTTCTCACATCCATCATATGAATATAAAACTAACATTAATAAATCTAAAGCAAGAGTTATAAAACACAGAAGTGATTAATAGGTCCTAAAAATTATGCGAAGGTTAGCAATCGCTGATATTTGCGAAAATTATTGACAAATCAATAGATCTAGTGCAGTGCAGCACTTGCTTTCACCTTAAAAAAAAAAGAATGATTCATAAATTGCAAACATCAACTATTACCGACTACGATTTGTAACCTCGACTTGATTGAATTTTAAGGGAAATCGTAACTAAGAAATATATATTCCTTGTGTCAATAACATCAGAAAAAAGATCTCTCGTAACTTTTAGAAAAAATTTATTGAAGTAACATATAATAAAATAACCACTGACAGCAAAATAAGTTATTGTATTAAGATTATCAGGATATAAGTTGAGGCGGATGTTCCCGTCGATGTTGCTGCAGGCACGCGAGAGAGCAGAAACGATTATCACAATATTCAAAATGCTTAGGAATCAAAACTACACCGCACTAAAAGAAAATAATAATTAATAATAGCCATTAACAATTATTATAATTATTTACTTCCTCTTTTTATAAAAAAAAAGATCTCTTATTCCTCTTTTTAAGTTTTTTTACTTCCTCTTTTTATAGTAAGTGACAATTATAATAGCAATTGTAATTAACACTATAAAGAGGAGAAATAGACTAATAATAATTGCAATTAGAATACTAAAAGTGGCAACAATACTGAATTAGTTAAATATCCCAATTTCAAACATGCATCAAAAATTTAACTAATGTAATGATATATATGTTTAAGTTGTAGTTACATTTCTTGTCTGTAAAAATTGATCCATTTTATCACCAAATAATAACTGACCTTGAAACAACGACTACCATCATTTTCAACAATCTGACAACCCTTTTGCAAAGATGCAGCAAGACGGCGTTCTGCAGCGAGAGCCCTTTTTTCTCGATCAGAAAGAGCTAAATACTTTTGACGTTGTTCCTAAAAAAAAAAAAATGATAATAATCGGTTCTCTGGTAATTTTAGTAATTAATTAATTGGTTAATTAGTAATGAACTTGTGGTCTTTAAAAAGAAAAACTGTTACTGAAAAACGAAATGCAAAATCATTACCTGTTCTATCTTCTCTTGATGTTTGACAATTCTTTTGACTTTATCACGTTGCTTCTTTTTTTCCCGTTGGATTCGTTTTTTTTCTGCCTCCTTGGCTAATTGTTCTTCACTCAGTACCGCTAGTTCTGGTATTTGGCTAACATTCCAGTTGAATGCATCGGGATGTCTGGATCGAAATTTGCTAAACGCTTGACGAACCGCTCGGTTTTGGGCGACCTAACGTGATAAAATCCGAAATTTAGATCTTGTTTCCTACGATATAAGGGTAGTATATTAATGATGTACTCGCAAACAAATTGATGTAAAATACCTGGTAAGGAACCTTCCCATCACTGTCTTTCACAGCTGGATCACATCCTAACAATAATAGCTCCTGGAAATTATAGTGAACAATTTAAATTCTCTCATAAAAGCAGACGAAAATGTATGGCATCCCTTATCAAAGAAATGGAAAATTTATATATTTGAATACGTACTTCCATGATTTCCACTGCACCTCTTCTCGCTACAACATGCAGAAAAGTTGAAGAAGTCGGAGGAAATCTCACTTCCCGGATATATTTCAAGAATTCTTCTTTGCTTTCCTCATTGCTTTCCAACAGCTGATGCAGTTTTGAAACCGAATTTAAACGTATAGAAGCATACAAAGCCTGGATATTTACATCGCTCAAAACATTCACCACTGCTTCACATTGTTCCGAATTTTGTTTTCCTTGCTGAAATATATATGATTTCTACCCAAAACCTTTGACAATAATTTCAGCATTTGATCCCGAAAAATGAAATGAAACCCAATGAATAGAAAAAAAGGTTTTGGAAAAATCGGTAGTGGCAGCTCCTCAATGCAAGTCGATCAAAAATCTACCGCGCTGTCAGAAATCAAACAGAATTTTGAAATCTTTTGCAGCCAAAACATATTTTTCCCACTTTTTCAGTGAATTAATTTTTAAGCATCACAAACATATACTAGAATAAAACTACAATTTTACATTTGATATATTCATCACTACTTCAGGTTGTTGTTGATTCATTTCAGCAGTGGCATTATCACTATCTGATTCCAGAGATTCACTGGACGGGTAATTTACTCCTGATACCTTGCGCCGAAATAATCGTTTCTGTTTCTTACGCAGCTTTTTAAGTCTTTCTTGTTCTTCATTGAAATTAACTACTGACCCGTGAGAACGAATGATTTCTATAAATATGATTTAATAGTAAACACATCAAAGAAAAATTTCAACGACTTCAACTAATTCTCATTATCAACGTAACAGAAATTTTATGGAGGCGCGATTTTATACTACACGGCTATTAACCAGTTCTGTCTAACACGGAACAGCTATTTATTCTAAACAATCATAATGTGCAGATCAAAGACCCTTGAAAAGTATCTTAAGGTTTAAAAGTCAAACAAAATGAACCTCAAAAATCTGTACCGCAAGAGCTGAAAAAAAAAAGGGAGAAAAAAGGCGTGGAGGAGAAAATAAACCAGGAAACATACTCAACCTAGACCATGTTCGCTGTAATTCGTCTACCGTTGGTCGGCGTGTTTCGAATGGTATTGTCCTCAAACGTTCGTCATCTTTTTGTAATTTGAAATTTTTCGTTTCTTCAAAAAAAACATGTCTGCAATACAAAAAAAAGAAAAGAACTGCACTGCATGAGCTTTCAACTTCATTAAAACTCCACAATTAAAATTTTTAATTCTTTAGCACGATTTCTTCATGAAACTGCGAATATTCAAGCAAATAATGAATAGAAAACAATATAAAACAATAAATAATGCTATTAAAGTAATAGTATAAGGAAATGACAGTACATCCATTCCATCTATATATCGACAATAGACATAAGAGTGGCGCTATAAGATTTGTTATGATTTTGTGGTTTGTGGGAAAACTAGGCCTAATTCAAGCCACTTTTTCTAGTGCAATTATTAATTGACGGTTCGGCCGTTCAGAGCGATTAAATTGCCATGAATGACAATACTAGTGTTAAGGTCAACACGTATACGAGTTTGACATTTGGGTTTGATGTATAATACAGAATTCTAAATATCAACTATTACTTCAGGATCAGCACATTAAGTGCTGTAAAAGAATGAATAATAAGGAGACATCACTGATTTACTGTATGTATGTATCGATTCAAATACTCAATTACTCCAATAATCACTGTCACTCTCTCGATCAACTAGTCTCATCTAATTACATATTAAAAAGTAAAAACCGTGTAAAGAGAATGAAAAAAAAGAAGCACTAATACATAAGATTTAAGCCCAAAACTATTATTCTTTTTTAAAATAATTTTAAGAAAAGAAACGTATTACCTTAACGACATTGGACAACGCACAAATATTAATGGACTTTGTTCCAATAACTTCGACCAATTTGCTAACAAACATTGAATTTCTTCTTTTAAAGCTTTTTCGTTATATCTGTACAAATTAAAGATTGTAAAACGAAGTATGAAACTTCTAACGTTTACAGAAGTTAATATCTTCTTAATCCTTCAAACAGCAATGAAATTAAACAGCTCAAAGACTGACAATTATCTTTTTGTAGTAAACAAAGATGTTTGAAGATTTCAACTCCATTAAAACTCCACAATTAATGTACAATATATATGATCCAGTAATTAATGATTTCATTTAAAACATTTACTAGAAATAAAAGATGGGTAGAGGATTATTGATTTACTGTATGTCTGTATCGATTCAAATACTCAATTATTCCAATAACCACTGTCCACTCTCTCGATCAACTAGTCTCGTCTACTTATATATTAAAAAGTAAAAACAGTGTAAAGGGAATGAAAAAAAAAAAGCATTAATACATAAGATCTAATTTAATCAACCAAGTGCCTTGTTCCTGACCGACAAGAAATAAACATTTCTAACACTAAATTTGTCTCCTGCTCATTCTCATTGCTCGTTAAATAGCAGTTTATGTTAATCAGTGTTTCAAACTCTTTAAGAAAATTTTCAACCTCCTCACAGAAGCACCAGCACTTTTTGCCGCAGATCCTCGTGCATCAGATACTGACTGTGATGTTCCCTGTTTCGCTCGGATAACATAACGATGGAAACTCTTGTGTACCAATAGTTTATTACTAAAATAAAACAGCAAATTCAAACAAGAATTTAAAAATCTCGCAACATGACACAGTATATTCAAATCGAAAATTATGTATCACAAACTAATTTCACTTATTTGATATTTCATGTGTAATAATGGTAATAGACTATAATACAATATAAAAATTCATTTAACCAGAATGTTCCAGAATCTTAGATCGTAGGTAATAGACTATAATACAATATAAAAATAAAATTTTTGTGAAATGCAAATTTAAATATTTTTACAGAAGTGTCCAAACAGTTGATACAGTTGATCCAACAGTTGATACGAAATATTCCTATTAAGGCAGTACTTACTTCTCGAAAATTCCACCACAGAAATGACCAGCAGAAAGCAACAAAATAACACAGTCCAATGGACGATTGAACAAATTTCGTGATATAACCTCATTTTTCAGTAAAATACATCGATATATGGAATATACCATTTCGTCGCTTACGAAATAAGCATGAGCTCCGCCAGTATATGGCTTTATCTCATCATCACTTTCCGTATCCAATAAGCTCAGCTGATCTGCAATAACAAATTCTTGCAAAATTAACAAAAAGCAGTAAAATTATCTAGTTGATAAAAAAATACAGAGAAATTAATTAACATAAAATTAAATTTCATTCATTATAAAGTTATGTGAAAATAATGTGAAAGCGTAATAAAATGTAAAAGACCTAGTTTACAATATTAAACAAAAAAAAAAAAAAAAACTTAAATCAGAATTATTTAGTAATCTATTTTTTCTAATTAAAATAAATTATTCAGCTGAAGCTGTTCTGAATCTTTTTTTTCGAACTAAATTTCTGATAACCAACCATCATCGGACATCGCTTGCTCAAACTCATCTTCTGTGAGCAATGGTCGTCCTTTCAAAATCCGATGAAGGTTATGCCGATGCCAGTCAGATTTATAATGTGCTATTAAGTCAATTCGATCTTCATCAATAGGTGCTTTACAAATTGTACATGAAAGACCTGGAAAACAGTTATTTAAAAACTGCTATCCATATTCAAGATAAAAAAAAAAAAGAATGAATTATTTATAACAAAGTGAAAAAGACATAACATAAAGTAAAAAATGGTACAAACCGACTGCACAAGAATTAGCAACTAAAAAAAGAATGGAACAACACTAGGAATGTCAGTATAATTTAAAGTAGAAATACATTAAGAAGATGCAAATAACAACTCAAAATAAAGTAAGAAATAATTAATAAATGTGATTTACAGGATATTTAAATAATCAAGTGACTTTTCAACTTCAGTTTGGCTCCAAAATCAAAAAATTCTTCTGTAAATTAAGCAACTTCCAAAGATTTAAGACCATAATTAAACATTAAATATTTGAAATGACTTAACCACAATCTTGCTTTTCAAAGTAAGATTCCATTTGGATTTCTTCTGTAACATTGATAAAGTTATACGGTTCCACCACAGCCTCAGACCAACGTGAATCGTTGATCGAATAAGAGATTTTAGAAGATGCCGACTTCATCATTACATCAAATTACAGCTAATCGAGATCTAAAGAAGGATTTAGCAGAATAACGTGTGAAGCGCTGGTTTAAACTATCAAATTTTTTTTAAACGATCTTTTTTCTTTCCATTACTTATACAACAAAGTAATTTTCTAACTTAAATATGACAAATAGGCTCTAATAATGAAATAAAGAAAAATAAAACATAATTAAATAAGAAAAGTATAATAAACAGTGGAAGAAAACTACAATTGAAAGTTGAGATTTAAGATTTATACCACTCAACCGAAGATAAAGAAAAAAAAATACACATACAGTTAAAAAAAAATATATACACATTATTTATATATACACACACATATAGTTATCATTATGCTAAAACATGACAAATGGCAAATTCCTTGCTTACATAATTTCATTAAAAAAACACTACCGTATACGTATTATCATGAACTTAAGTTTGCTCTACCTCAGATTTTCACCAACTCAGCAATTTCGACTGCCACAAATAGAACGGAAAATAAATTATTTTAGAAGTAGAGAGGAAATACATAGAAGAAAAGAAAGAATATGGATAATACGCACAGCATTCAAAATTTTTTAAAATCGGCTCTAATTTAAAATCACAATATACATTACCTTCATTTCTTATCAATTATGAAAGCATTTCATGCTTCCAGCTATTAATGCATATTTATAAAGGATATGACACAAATTCAGAAGGAGTACTAATTCAATTAAAATTTTAAACTTTTCTATTCCTTATGAACGATAATTTGAATAATTTTTTTTTTTAAAAAAATAATAATTTATAAGAATAAATCCTACCGAAATTGCTGTTTATTTCAATTAGAATTAACCCATGTAACCTCCAGTAATAACCAAACAGGCAAATAAAGGATTATTTTTGTTTTGAAATGAAAAGTGAACATAGTAATGTCGATGAAATAAATTTTCCAAAACATATTTATAAACAGCGTGTTATGTACCGCTAAATAAAAAGAAAGAAAAGTGAAACCTATGAAATTTTTATAAAATTATGCATCAAAAAACTAATTGGTCACATAGGATGAGCATAGATGAAGATCGGCATAAAAGTATGCACCGCACATAAGACAATAAATAGCATAACTATATCCTTCAAAAATGTTTAGAAATATGAAAAGTCTTGCTATATATAATATTCGATTTTTCGATTTTATGTATTAGTATTTAACAAAATTTTGACTTTGAAGTTAGTTCAAATAATATTTTTCCATTGTCCGTATGTAAAGAATCTAACAGCCTTGAAAAGTAGTTAAATCAAAAATAGTAAATCCTGATACAACTAAGTGTAGTCACATCACAGTTTTAATTCCTATTAGTAACATTAGAAGCACTAATTGAGAATAAGTATTCAAAGTGAAACAAAAATACATAAGCCAAAAAATGACGAAAATTTTTGCTTCACTATGCATCGGGAGAAAGAATAAAAAAAAAATGACACAAAAACGAAGCGTTTAGATCCAAACATTTGATTGAGATCAGCATGTTAATGATCAATTATAACAGGCTCCCTGATATCCAACAATTTGACTGTTTCTTGCCAATCACTATAGCTAAAGCTTATAATACCACGATTGTCCTGATCACTACTTTTCTCAAGAGCTTTACGTTCAGCATTACCAATTAAACCTAAAAATTTTCCATCTTCATATTGGAAATATATCATAATTTGCACACAAAAGGAAAAAATTTAAAGTATTCCAATCATTCATTTTGTGCTGCTAAACTTACTCAAACGTGGCATATTATCATCGCCAATATGCAATCCAACTTTATTTTCTTTCAATAAAAATGATGTATAGAAAGCATTTGCCACAGAACGCGAGAAATCCATTGGATGGAAGCAAAATTCGAAATAATTAATTGATATCATATTACGCTGCTTTAAACAACTTTTCAAACAATGCATGACATTGTCAAGTTGTCTAGCAAGCGGATCCTTTCGTCGTTGCAATTCCTCTTCCTAAAAAAACTGATATCTTTTAAAAATTAAACATAATTATTTGTCACTATATCCTTTCATCATTCATTTAACAGTTGAAGCAGATATTTAAAGTCATTATGGAAAAAAAGTAATAAATCCAATCTCATTTACTACCTTAACAACCTTAATATTCATTTACACATTGACCACTTTATAAAATTTGAATGGATTTCAGCTATTTCAGTTGATCACTCAGACCGTCACTTAACCTTATGATTTGAATAAATGCTTCCTCTCTGCTAATTACTTACTTTAACTTCTCGTAACTGCACTATTTTTTCATCCAGCTTTAATTTTGCCCTTTCGACCTTCTTTTTTGAATTTTTTTCAACTTTGTTAAATTCATCATTCATTCCTTTCGGAATTTCCTCCAGCAATAACGGTCCGCTGAATGATAAAAAAAGTGTTTAGCTTTATCAACAGGCAAAAAAAAAAAATAGCCAATATAGTAATATATATATAGTGATACTATGGAAATGCAATAATGACCGGCCAATCACTGTACCATGCCTTTTATCTAAATACTCAGAACACTTTTTTTTGTAAAAACAATTTTTTTCGAAACTAGCTTAAAAGTTCAAAGCATCACTACCAACCTTAAATTTACTAATCATTTTTAACTGAAGTGTTGAAAAAATCTTACTGAATAACTAAAAAATGAAAAACAATTACAGGCATGATAAAGCAGGTGGAAGGTTGAGGATATTCATAAAATGACTGCCGAATGCTGCCCAGCTTGACTGCTGATTATCAAGCGTTGTTTTCCCATCTTCTTCGATTAAACCACATTCATTTTTTAAAAAATTTGTCTGGAAACAAATATTTTTCACTATAAATTGGAATCGCCACAGTAGTATATTAATATCCTGAGAGAAAGTTTGTACAATCTATCAAATTTCGACCTTTGAATGTCGAAACTTTGGTCCATGCGATGAAGACTAAAAATGTTTACAAATTCAAAACAAAAATTTATGACCCTACTGATGCTGAATAGTCAAAACCGATGAAATTTAATGATGAAAACCAAAAAGATTTTATTCAATTTAATTATTTAAATTTGGTGGAAATTCTGTTAAACCACTCTATACCAAATGTAGCTTCAAAAAAATTTAAATTGAAATCCAGGACCTAAATCCAACTTACAACTTAGGCTATGAAAAGTAAAAATTATTTCCCTTATTCCATCCTAATTTTTCCTAACCGGACATTCTTCCTACCAATACTACCGCTATCAGTATGTTCATTCTTGTTCGATAGCAATGCACTGAAGGAAAAAGAAATAAAAAAAAAAAATGAAAATCTCATTATTACATTTATTCACTATGTTTCTACATAGATTGTTTCTTTTTTCTCTTTTGGAGAGTATGAAAATTTATTTTTTCTAAAAAGTTATCTATGTAAACTATCCTATAAGAACATTCAAAGATAACATTGAGAATAAAATCATAAAATGTCTACGTGATAGAAAATATCCCGCTAAAGAAGTGTTCAATAACGATAATAATTAAGCCTTATTATCACTTTATCGACAGGGAAAATTAATGAAAAATAATCAGCCTCTGAATTTCCAATATGGTTAGTTCCAAATTGATGATCTGATCCCTTGCAATCAACAAAGGCTTCAACAAAATTGAACAAATAAAATAAATCTATATCATATTGTTGTGTACATAAAAAAAGAATACATAAAACACTATATTTGTAATATAATATTAATTTGAACAAAGACATACTTAGGCGACATGACCAATTATATTAATACTATCATATTAATACTCGAAAGGTTTCAGGAACGAAGGCTACTTTATTCTATCAAAAAATCAAATTTATAAAAAAAAAATCATTAAACATACCAATGTTTGAACAAAAGAATGCAAATTAATTGTTCTCTTGGCTGAGTCATCATGAAAACTTTGCACTTCTGTGGCAATAAGTTTCGACAAGGATTTCGTTAATTTTGCATCTGTCATCATATAACGACAAGACTGCGTCTTAAAAATACTCTCGCTTTTTTAATTTACTTAGCAATCATTTAAAAAAATCCACAAACTACTACGCCTTGTAACGGGTACGGACTAAATAGTAATGCTACCAAATATTGGTTTCCTTTCGTTTTTCTGCTAAAAAAGAAAGAAAATCTAACCTTGACAAGATTTTCTTCTAAGTTATTGGTTTGCTGCAAGTATCTCTGAGAATGAAGATTATCATCTTTTTCACAACCTTCGCTCACTGCCATTGTCAGCTCTAAAATATCAAACAAAATTATAAAATATTCCAATCATAAAATTATTCCAGATCACAATTCTTGTGTGTTATACAAGAATTCTAGCTTCGACAAAATTATTACTCAAATAACAGCCTTATCCAGATTTTTTAAAGCTTTTTTGTATGATCTTCTGAGGAAACAATCATCCTAGTCACGAAATTACTAATACTATAGGCTTGATCTAAAAATCAACCATCAGTCAAACAAATATATGTCATATGTTAACAGAAATGCCTTAAAAAATTATGAAAAGAACAGCTAGACTAACTATCAATCTTTTCGCATAATTGTTGTGCTCTTTCATGGTACTGCAATTCATTCTCATCATCGTTACTGGTACCACATTGGTCAACATCCTCTGATGGTTCCATATCTTCGTCCATTAGTACTGACAACTCGCTGGAAACTCTGTTTCATTAGTGTCTTTCTACTCGACCAATACCTACCTATTTGTTGCATATCGATTGAAAAAATTTTCTACTGAATAATAGAAAGAGTAACACTACTAATTTTTTCCATTGCTCATTTCAGAACAATTACTTAACAAAATAGAATAGAAAATCTAACTGACAACCATGAATGGAAAAGAATTACTCAAATTTCATTTCCTAATTTTAAATTTCTACGGTGTGAAAAAAATGAGAACCTCCGCATCACACTATAGTAATCTTAAAAGGGGAAAAAAAAGATAACGATTACATTCCCAAATTAGAAACACTACCTATAGCAACATTTTCGCAATAATTTTTTTTGTTTTTATTTCTGTAAAAAATCCAAAAAAATACATACATTATCAAACAACAAAAAAATTCTATTGGTTTTCTTAGCATTTTTATTGCTCATTTCAAATATTTTTTACTAAGATACAAGCTTTCATCAATACATAAAAACGAAAAAAAAGAAGTGATAACAATTTATCAACCTTTTATTAGAATAACAATGTGGAAAAGTACAATAATCAGCGACTATTAAAAATCAACCAACTTTTAAAAATAAATCAAATATCGCTGTTTTTAAAAAAGATAAGAGATGCTAATATGAAAAAGAATCTTCAACGAAGCCCATAAAATTAAATGAAAAATAAGCTATAATATGACTTACATGTCTTTTTAATTTAAAACAATAAATAATAACATATCGAAGTTTATTATACTAAAATGTATGAAAAAAAAAAAAAAAAAAACATAGAAGATTATGTTCGCTTATAGTATCTGATAATTTGTTGTAAGATATGGTAAACGTGAAACAGAAATCTGAATATTTTGGAAATTCACAAAATCAGGTTTCGTAAGCCATTAGCAAATAATGCACTTAACAACTCTTGCAAAAATTCTTCCTCTTCTTTATTTTATTGAACTTAATTATATTAAAAGGCGAAAATTAGTCGGCTATTTTTTGATCATTAGTCAAGCTAATTAAAAAAAAAAAAATTGGACATAAATCTCTATCTACTTAAAATGATAGCATTGAAGGAATGATGACCTTAAATGAATTTGAAACTGTATGATGTCCGTCAAAATAACGAAATCCAAAATCACTCTGCAATATAATGCCATTTATCCAGTTTTTTCGGGATATCTTTCACAGCACCCAATGGTGGCTGTTCAGCTATGATTTTTTTCCATTTATCAATGTTTGCTCGATGCGCTGCTTCATAAACATCACACGTCATTTCACTATTTAGCTGTGGTGATGATTCGTTGACAAGACGCTTCCAAAATTCATGTGTTTCAGAAATAACACCTAAAAATTAACATATTTAAACTGAGATACCAATACTACTTAATATATTTATTGAAGCAATACCAAATCTTAACATATAACATATAGTAGACAGTTCCTATACAACACTTCAAAATTAGACAAAAAACTGGATAATCAAATAAATTGGACTTAATGGAATTATAAATCCAAATTTACTCTAATTAGCACAAGTCGATATTATCTTAAATCACTCAAAACAGATTAATTAGCATCAAATATTTTAATGAAACGAACTAATGACGATTTTATCCTAAATTCACTGAAAACTGCAATAATTTTACTTGACTCAAACTGGCAATCAATTTTTATCACCAGGAATATGGCTCATGCTCCAAGATGCCACTAAAAATATTTTAACACTTGCTCTCATAATTTGGTTAACAGGAAAGAAAGTGAACATACCATGTGCAAAGTCAGCATCTTTGAATAATCCGTTAAAAGCAAATTGATTGGCCGGTTTACCTGTCGGAATTTTGTAATTACGAAACCATTCACGTGTTGCTTTCAAAAGACCCGGAAAATGTTTTTCGACATCTTTTATTTCATTAATTTGATCCGCTTTCTCATCCGTTACATCGATAGCAACCAATTTCCAATCCGTTTCACCTTCATCAATCAATGCAATAACGCCGACAATTTTCACCGATATTACATCACCACGTCGATGAATTTTAGAACCAATTTCAATCACATCAATTGGATCATTATCACCGCAAGCTCCTGTAGCTGGATGTTCATGTTTCGGATCTTCCCATGTTTGAGGAAGAGCACCATAGTTCCAGATATAACCTTTAAATGGGAATACATTATCCACAAATCGTGGTTCACCATTTTTCACATCTTGTTTGATTGGTGTCATTGATTCCTTAGTTGACATTTCCATTTTAGCATTTGTCCATCGAGGAATTTCAATTACCATATTGTAAATTTTCTTTGATTCATCGACAAACAAAGGTATATCATGCCATGGTGAGATATGAGAACCACTTTGATCCTTGAAATATATTCTATAATCCAAACCATACAGTGAACCAAATTCTTCGATAGTATACTTTGCAGAAGACATTAATGATTCTCCGGAAACTTTTAAACAATAAGGAAGTACTGATACTGATGGAAATATCGTTTTGATCAGGAAAACTAATGCACTTCCGCACAACAATCGCATACAATAATGGAATATAGCCCACGTATAAAGAACTAAAAATAAGAAAAATACATGCATTGAGCTAATTTATCAACATTATATCAGTCGTTCGCTAGTTTAAGCCAACAATTCTTATGATAATTGGCAATTATTTTGATTGGTCTTTGATGCATTATTTTATTTTACATCAATAAAATCAATTTAAAAAAAAAAAAAAAGGAAACATTCTACTGTAACCATTTCAGTTCCTATTCCCAATTTTTTACAATTCATATTCCCCTTAATAAATGATAAATTACGATGAAAGCGAAACCATTTATTAACCAAGCAACTAAATGAAACTTTAAAACTAAGGACTAAGATGTAATGGTTGCTTCCCTTGAAAGGTTTTAAATCAAATAATATATTAAATATAGCACTATGCATATGATAGCACTGATAAGCAGTAAAAGAATTTTAAGGTTAATACTAAAATACGCAAAATGAAATACCATGCAGGAAGAATGAAATAAGCATGAAATGGACAACCTAATGCAACAAGCAGTGAAACAGTGACGAATATGCCATTTATGTCACTTACCAGCAAGCAAAATCATTATGGATAATTACAAAACTGCAATAGCAGTTACTCCCTTAATGCTTCTTTAAATATTGTTAATTCTAACTCAGTGAAAGCTTTAAACAAATTTTCCGATTAATCTAAGTCGACGTCCATTATCCTAAAACTTCACTTTTCTTTTAAAATCAAATTCATTTCGTGATGTTTTAGATCTGCCGGATGATTTCAGATCAAATTTTAAAAAATGGAGGAAACATTTTAGTATTCAAGAACGTCAATAACTTTCGAAAAATGAATCTGAGAATAAATCTTGAAACTCATTAGCAACAAAAAAATTAGTAATTCCACTTATCAGGAATAAAAACAGTACTTTCGTCACAAAAAAATGAGTATGAAATAAGTAATCATAAAAGACGAATTTTTCTAAATCTTGAAAAATTTATACCAATCTTTTAATACTTTCTTTAATTTTCAGCAAGATCATACATGTCACAATACAATGCAACAATGCCATCGACTACGAATATAATATATCTATTTATTACTGAGCAGGTGCATCTTTTACAACCTTGTATAATCCATTTACACAAGATAACAAATTCAGTTTCACTTTCCGCTGCAAAAATGCAACAACATCCTCCAATGTGGGTCCATGCTGTCCTGGACTTGCAAACATTCTGAAAAAAGAAGTGTTATTTCATTCGAAATTTAAAGCAGTAAATGAATAAGATGAATTCAGCTAAATAATTCCAGATAATCCGGAGTATTAATAATCTGGGGACATATTAAAAGAGAAATCCTATGAAGCAATTTCCTGCTTTCAACTGTCGTAACTTTCGTCAAAAGCCTATGCAAAGTATTAACTATGCAATTATCAGCTTATCCAATACAATGTTTAGTATAAGACAGAAATAAAGAATCAACAAGATCTGATTACCTGAAGATGGTATGTAACCGCTCAGCTTTGACAGGCTCCTGATTAGCGATGAAACTTTTAGTATAGATCCAGTATTGCTCCAATGCATCAACTGCTTCCATATCTTCATTTTTGTCATCATCTGATATATCCTCTTCCATATCGTGTTCAACTTGCAAACGTTCCATTTTTGATGTCCCACTTGCAAGATGCCAGGTTTTTGCTTCACTTTCGCCCTGCCAATTTTATGAAATTAAAGAATTTTCATTTTTTTCAGATAAAAAGAATTTTTTTTTTCAACGGAAAAATTCATTAATAAGGAAACCACTGAATGCAGATCCAATGAGTCCGAGTAGCAAATTTAAAGACTGAGATCATGAACCAGTTCTGGGATAACAAGTATAATAATGAGTGATATATGAGCACAACATGAACAGAAAACATAGTTCGATGAATGGCTGTTTAGACTCTTAATTATTCGTAACACATAAGTTATTCGATTATGCGATATTAAAATCGCATAAATCTAAAGTGTTTTTTTTTTTTTTTTTTCATCACTTACCGCAGAAGCATATACAACACCACTGTTTTGCCACCATTCCAATCTCTTTTTAACATTTCGTTTGTCCATTTTTAGTTCAGCTGCCATTTCATCAACTGTCCAAGTTTCTGTAAAATTTTACTCTTTTCAATGAAGCACTCACTACCAAATGAAATTATTTTCATGGCATTAAAAAATATTGCCCACTAAATGCTAACTAGTTTCAAAAAAATAAAACAATAAACCTTTCTTAGTAAACAATGATAAAACAGCAGCGTGAGCTGGTGATACAGCAACTACAGCCTTCACATCATCCAATTCTACTTCCAATTCGATAGAGCCAACAGCACTCATCCATTCCAACTTTCGAGATCCCTTATGTGCTTCGAATCCACGCGCATACTCATCCAAGCCAATCATCAATGCTTGTGGCATCTACAAAACGATTAAAAAAGCTCGAATGAAGAAAGAATTTTGAAGTGAGAAAAAATTACTAAATTTTTTAGAACAGCTAGAAGCAAAATGCATACCGTGAACTCTTCATTTTCAATCTTTGGCCAGAAAAATGATGATATAATTCGCGCATTGATTGGAAATGGCTGAAAATCAACCATTTAATATTTCCATCGATAATTTCTTATAACAGGTAAAAAATTTGTTGTCATTTGTATCTAATGGGTTACTGGATCAATATATATATATATATATATATATGGTTGATTCTTTTTAATTTTTTCTGGAGCCATTCTTTTTCAAAGTACGCTTGAACGTGTAGATATATGTAGCATAAAACACGTGATGTCTAGATAGGCTTAATTCCAGGATAATATTAGAGTAAAATGCACTTCGGTTATTTAGTTAAATTCATTAGATTATTCAATATTTAATGTCTAAGATAACTTCAGTTGTTAAAAACTGTCCACAAATACTGAAATAATTTCGACTCGGATTTTATTAATTCACCAGCAAATTATCCACTAAGCAATCGATGTGTTCCGAATCACGCATATCCTTCAGCATCACTTCACATTGTTGTAATTCTCCTTCACTAAACCGAAGCTTAAGTAATTCCAAATAACGTTGCTCAAACTGTGGCTGAAAAGCGATTTGAAATCGTAAGAAACCAAACATTTACTTAAATTACCTTTGGTCAAAACTTTTGTATAACGAAATATGATCCAAATATTGAAATACATCCCTTATACAGTTTCAGAATTTAAATTTTTGCTTAAATATCCAAATACTCACATCCCGATTCCAGGATTTCGTGAGTCGTTCAGCGAGCAGTTCACGATATTCTTTCACAAATATTTCTTTACTTCCATAGACGGATACCAGCATGTTAAAAACATCTGCATTCTGTCGATATCGACGGCTTTGACAAGGATTTGCATCTGGTGGATCTGGCAGCCAATCCATCCAATTACGCTCTATAAAAAAAAGGCTAAAATACAGGACTTTGCTTTAAATCGGATCTTATACATCCCAAAATGTACTACATCTACTTTAATAACATTCCTTGATCCCTATCTTTTTACCATTTTCACTTTTTATTTTTGAAAGGAAATGAGTTTCGATAAAAATGCAATTGGAAATTATATTCAAGCAAAAAAAAAAAAAAAAAAACTCGCCAGCAGTATCATCTGAACCCGGAACAAGCTCATCGTTCACTCCTACCAACTCTTCCTCATCCAAAAAAGCCGTTCTTCGCATTGCCAATTGCTCACTAAGTTCTTCCCGTTTTTCACCGGTAATATAAGTAATTATACATCGAACCGTATCGGGTCGTTGTCTGAATTGGTCAAAGTGATTTATTTCATTGCCGATAGTAGATATATCAGTTACCAACCAGTGAGTTATATTCGTTCCCGACACATTAACAATTTCAAATTAAGTAACTAGAAACAACATATATTTTGATGCATGAATAAACTCATCAATTAAACACTATCAAGTCAAAACTTTAAATCATTACTTGATGTACTGTCTTATTATAGAGCATATTTGTTGCATAATTACACATGTTGGATCCAAACGTCGTAAGCACTCGACTGCACTAGCATATCCCTCCAAAATTTCTGTTGTCCCTACGCCTAAAAATAATTTTCTTTCAAAAGTTATATCTTACACCACACGAAATACCAAAACGCTTAATTTATGCTGCGAAAGTCATCGTATGCTATTTTATAATGTGATCAAAATGGAATATTTTCTTCGTTTTTGTGAACTGTGCAAATATTAAAAGAGAAAAAAAAAAGCTAACCAACTTGCAGCAATCTCTGCTCGACATCTTTTGTTAATGTATCCATCAATAACATCCGTCCAAAACCACCATTATTTTGCATGCAACAACGTAAATCATCGATCACTCCACTTGACTGCGGATATTCAACTATTACAAAGTTGTAGATCTGAAGGTACAGATGTTCTCATTACCACAACCATATATCCCAGTCTCCGATTCGATACCTCCTTAGTAAGTAATTCTACGCCATGCACTTATGCTTTCTATAAAAATGCAAACATCATCTTTGACTTAGTGGTCGGCATTTTCAGATTAAATCATACCTTCTCAGCAAGCGTAGTTATAAAACATTTTTCCATTGCTTGTTGAAGAGTTTTTTTTGTCGGCTTCAATCGTGATAAACCTATTATTACAGTCCAATCCGTAATGCGTTGACATCGCTGTAAACCACTAAACATCAGTTCTTCATTTTCAGTTCATTATCATTTGATAAAGAATGTTATAGTTATGGATCTTTTGTTCAACTTGTGTAGTTCTCATACTGATGCACATCTTAAACATGGATGTACATTTTAAACCACATTATTTATTTTAGTCACATCAGTGGGTGAACAAAGTAATGTAATTACAGTGAAGATAGATTCAATAGAGTAAATTAATAGCAAAAAGTGAATAATATAACTAATTTGGATTATGTCTAAATTAGTAATATTATTTACTTTATTTCTTAAAAGTCATTTCATCATTGTACTATACCGGTAAGTCAAATCAATCTCTAATTCCTTACTTATATTTTCGTCAAAAACTCAAAAAAAAAAAAAAAAAAAAAAAAAGAAAATACCTTAGTGTTATCAGATAGTGATATCAATTCTGTTGATATTGCACATTTACGTTTTGCCATATTAGCAATGATATGCCACACTGCTTGATTATGAGCTTGGAATACGACTGACATAACATCGAAACTGTTCGGGTCTATTCTGAAAATGTTACAACTCAAGTTGCCTCGATTTTCAAAGGATGTTGCGGCAGTGATCAAAAAGCTTAGACATTAATTCATCCGAAGTTCAAGAAAAAATTGCAATCTTTTAGAGCTTATTTATTATTTGTTGAAAAAATAAAATACAAAAAGTGGTTTCAGATCAAAGCCATTTCAGGCAAAAGGTATTTTGAAAGTTAGATAACACATCACATCTAATGTAAAGTGCGCAATGTACCATACGTATTAAAACAGCATTTCTCTATATAATAAACAGATGAATGATAATAACTAACAAATGCATTACTGTTTCTCGAAGCATGACAAGCACAGACTCATGACAAACAGATATTTCGTTATCCTTTTCTTCCAATGTTTCATATAAAAGAAAGCTTACTTTAAATGCATTGCTCATTAACATTTTCATTTTCCTCTCTATCTGAAAAGAAATATAAAAACTAATTTTGCAATTAGGAAGTCAAAAAAAGCCAAACATAATAAAGATGATAACATACATGCACAATTATTAATACTTTTAACCATTATTATCATTAACAAACCATTCAGATTTCATCCATTTGGAAGGCCTTCCTTCTCTACACCATATGTTATCATGCGTAGAGAAAAGCATACAATGAATTCAAAAAATACCAAAGATTGTTATTAAAAAATGGTCATCAAATTTTGAATGCATCTACGTGAAAATTTAGCTCATTTGCATTTATTCAAACAGCTATGCTTTAAAATGCACAATACATCTAGCACAATTCATGGATCACGCATGTAATTTGCATCCTTAGGATTCATGTAAGTCAAGAAAAGATTCAATAACTGCGTTGAAACAGGAGTGTACAAAGCAAATCAAACATGAGTGCACAAAGCAAAAACGAAAACTAACATCAGATTTAAACAGTATATTTCCAGCAAAATGTAGAACCCTCGTTCTAAGATATTCGGCACTATGGTTATTTCCAACCATAATTTTTCGAATTTTCTGGAAGACCCGTAAAATAAATTAGAGAACAATTCTTCAATGAAAGTAAAGTTGTGGAAAATAAATAAAAGCAAAATTTTAATCAGTTATAACTAAAGACAAAAGCTTTGTTTTGAAAATGACATAGAACTATGCTCAGAAACTATTCAAATATTTCAATAAAATCATGTGCTACATTAAAACTACCTCATTAGGTTTCCTGAACGACAACCTAGCTTTAAATCCCTTAGATAACTATTTGCTTTTCTATCTTTTCAAGGATTTAGGATCCAAATTTAAGGAACAAAATTACACAATTTATATCTCACAAGTCTCGAAAACTTTTAACTCTACCTTGTCAATAACGTTTTCAATAGATATCACTGTTTCATGTAACGCGCTTATTATGTAATGATTTGGAAGGGTCAACATTTGAACAACAGCTCTACGAAAACGTGGAAGAATGGTTGCTGTTACAAATTCTCTGAAAAAAAATTAAGTTGTTTCATTGGTTAAAGTCACTGAAGAGGGAGTGATTTTCGAGGAGGATAAAATTTTTTCAATGAAAATTGGACAATTAAGAAATTAAAAAAACCATGAGTTAAGATGAAGGCATAAGATCTAAAATTATTAAAGGTACAGTGAAGAGAATCTAGAAAATTAGTACAATATGATGAATCATAATGAAATTATTCTTTCGAACCCTTCAGAATTATATCCTTCGTTTGCTTATTTAATCATTAACAAGAAGCACACATTACAGCTAAACTTTGGTTACAATCATCATCAATAAAAACTGAGTAGTTGAACAAAATCTAATTCAAATGGAAAAATTGGGATAGAAAGCTATCCAATTACATTTTTCCTCAGCTAATTTGCACTACACGGAACTGAAGAAATTATTACCTGCACAATGCATACCCCTTTTCTGGGTCCCTCATGACTACAACTTCATTGGAGGAGGATGATGTCATCCCGAATTACTGCAAGCTCGAGCAAGTGGTGGAAAACAGCACATCATGCATTTAAGTGCCAAACGATCAACAAGAATGAATAAACCACAGTAAATCTGGTCAATTCGATGTAACAACTTCGTTATAATACACAGTATTTCTACTTAATACCCAGTCGTCAGAACTGTCAATTATAAAAACGACCACTCGTTTTTTAGAAAAACGGTTACCCTTTTCTTCGAATACTAGAACTGCTTCACCAAAATTCCAGAAAAAGTCAAAATACCTGAAAGAGAAGATAGGAGATTTAGAAAGGGAGGAAAAGTAGCTTCTGAGTAGATAAAAATAACAGAACTTGTAATTAATCGCAAGATAAATTTCTTCTCCAAGAAAATTTAAAATACTATTTGTATTTCATTGAGTCAACCACTGATTATGTTACTCACCCATTCCAACAAGAAAATTTCAACCTTTCTGTAGAAAGCGTAAGACGACAATACAGTCAAATAACAGAAATGCATGAATAAGATATTATTTCACAGTAAAGTGAAATAAAAAGTGGATTTCAAATATACATTATATTTAGCTAAAAACTAATTAATAAGAGATCTTTTTTTCTTTTTCTTCATAATTTTATTTTTCCATTCATTTACAACATCACTGCATACAAAACAACGATAACGTAACTCATATTCGAATATTTCCCAAGCGCGTAAGTTCCCGACCAAACTTTTCGTACAACTCACCACCTTCCTAAAAACAGAAGAAAACACAAACTTAAAGTTTGTTTATAGAAGTCAGAAAAAAAAACGATCTTAGATAGTAATGAAAAATGTGCTATAATGCTGCAAAAAAATAAAACTTCAAAATACCAAAAAGTAGATCACATGACTGTAGCTGTTAGTAACGAGGATTTTCGACTATTCGGAAAAAGAAATCTGCTTTTAATAATCTTAATTCAAGTAAGTATTTCTGCAATTTGAGATTCGTATAAACAGTGAAAATCATAAAAACTCCCGTAAATTTAGATAGCGAAAACTACCGTAAATTCCAAATACAGACAGAAATTATTCCTATGGCTAGTACAAGACTTTAAAATATATCGCCAGCTTTTTGCTTCAAACTTAGCTTTTAAATGATGATTTCAAAACGCTTAAATTAATATACTTTTTGATGCATTACCTTAAAAGCTGTACTTGGTTCTCTCATTGTCAATGCTATTCTCCGACCACGGATATGCTCCGGAAACACAGCATGCCTCCATGAATAGCGAATCTCATCAGACATGCACACCATTGTCCTAACAATATTACTTTCTTAAACACTAATCTTTGCTTAATAAAGCTATGTGAATATATCATTCAGATTTTGCCCACGCTTTGATCCATTATCAAATTACCTGCAGAATACAGAAAAAAAAACCATCATTTCTTTTTATTCTTGATTTATCCATCAAAAAACCTTTCTAACAATCAATCTCATTACAAGATTCTACAGTTGCAAATTTTCGTCACAAAAAAAGATATGAATATTCGAATGTGTAGCTTAAATAGACCTGCTCGGTAGTGGGACATAGATGATTAACTGTTTCTCGTCATTTGCGTATGTCAGTACCGACTTTGTCAGGAGGTTGATGCTAAAACTGGCAACAAGTAACGACAGAAATAAAGAAAGGATATAAACAAAATGCAAGCAAGCGTTGGAAAAAGAAAAAAATACAATTAAATTCAGTTAAAAATAAGAAATTCAGAAATCAAGAAATATTTTACGATTTTACAGAAAAAACTAAAACGATAAAAATTGAACCAAATTTTCATCTCTTTTTGAAAAAAATCCGAAAGACCATCTGACCTTTGACAAAAACCTACCATATATCTACAAAGAAACTGAAAAATGCAAACAAACCAAATCAGGCGTTCCCCCCAAATCCATGTATCATCGTAGTGCATTTCAATGGTTGACCACCGACTATCCCTGTATTCCAAATTACATAATTCAAACGGGTGATAGGAACCAAACAAATCAGAGGAAATGGAATTCATCCTATTTAGTATTACGTCTGTGTAACTCGGCATCCCAAAAAACCGATCCATTTTTATTTTCTTATGTTTGAAATTAATACGTGGACCGTAATCCTATAAGCAGACTGCGCTAGAGTCGTTTAGTAATCAATTTTCATGAACATTAATGATGATCAATTGTGAAATGGACTTGCAAAGTGATTGAAAAACGTTTAATTCATTATTAACCAACGATCGTTCCCGTTACAGTTTGTATAAATCCTTTCAACCGCAGGGCTTATTTTTAGAAATACAACAGTTGAAGGATTTAAAAAAGCCAATAGAACACCTGTTTTCGACGTCCTGATTGTGAAAGCACCCAATCCGTTTTATCAATTGCATTAACGAGGTCCACCTCTTCAGCTTCGCTAAGGAAATCGATAACAACATATAGACCAGGAACGGCTAAATCATCCTAAAAAATTTCAACTATATAACCATATAACATATAATCTGACACTGCTTCGACTAAAATGCATAAGTACTGGACAAATATTTCATTTAAAAAAGAAAAAAAATAAGCCAGACATGTATAATACCACTTTCCAATTTTTTTTCTATGAACATCTTTTAAGTGATTACCTCAAAGTTATTTTCGGCTTTGTTTATTCTACTAGCCACATCATGGATATCAGCTAATGATGGACGATTAGGTAATGAATTATCATGTATTGCGATATGGTGATGCGAAGAATAAACATACTTCTTATATTTTGCAAACGGATATTCTTCACATAGTCTTAGTTTCTTCACTCTAAATATTTTAAACAGTTATACGTGGCTATGAACACTTACTCTTTTATGGATAAACTTGCAGTAATTTCATTATTTTATAAAGACGTAATATTGGCACGACTAGTAAAATGATTAAGTCATCCATGTGTCATTGACACTATATTTATATTATATTTGCGCTTTCGGCTATAAAAATATACATTAAGCAATGAAATATAAATATTATAGGCTACCAAAATGTACATATATACAATATATATATAAACTAATCAAATATTACTGCTGTTCATTAGTTATGTTGAAGTGAACCAAGTAAACTGGGACTGTTCCGTCTTCAAATTAAAAATTAAAAATAAATCTTCCAAACTTAAATGTCAACAGATGCGACTCTATACTAACAGATACGACCATAAAATTATAACCGGAAAAAAGATAGTAAGGAATATATTCAAATTATTTAATATATAAAAAGCAAATATTCGTAATACAACGGTAAAATCAGTTCTTTTCCATAAAGTCTTCATCTCACTGCATCTCACTTACGACTTCCTTCAGATATCAACACCAGAAAGAATTTTATCCCACCTTAATGTATCTTTACATGCAGCACAAAATCGAACTCCTTTACAACCACATTTCGGCTTCTCTTCCTCAACTGGTTCTGTTTGTACCGATTGCACCATCATGTGTCAATTATCAACCTCAATAAATAGTATTTAAGCGTTCTTTTCAAATTTATGCAAGAAAAAAACTCAATTGATACCGATGACTTCAAGGGCATATGGAAATTTAAAATCCCCACAAATGGATTTCTTTTCGCACCATTTAAGCAAAGTAGAGATGACATTCCTCGTCAAAATACAGAAAGTTAACTTTGCAAAATCTGCCGTACCAGAAAAGAAAATCCTAAAGAATTTAGTTCAAAAGTACACATTGGTTGACTTTCCCTAAGAAATACATGTAAACTGGTCAACTTTTAGAAATATTACAATTTATATGTCTAGAATTACCACACACAAAATTGAGAAAAAATAACAATGAACATAACAACTACAATGAACTGAAAATGTGTGAATCTTAGCTCACATCCTTAACCAATGCTTTTTGTACATTTTTCTTGAGAGGGTCATTTTTTTATTGTCGCAGTACTATCAAAAATAAGATTTCTAAATCACTCCTCATTTTCTACATTAGTAAAAAATAATGCGAAGTAGCATTTCGCAGTATCAATAACCACACTTCTCGTATTGCTGAAATGATAAAGTCAATTCCAGTTCCTCATATGAAAGTGTTTCTCTTATGGAGTGCCATGCTATCGATATTTCCACCATTTCTTGTATTAAGGGTAGTAGATATTGTAACAGACTCCACTCGCAGAACACCAAACGTGTTGAAGAGAATTTCTTTTTTATAAACATCCAAATTAAACAAAGAAGACAATCAGGATAACGTTTTGTGGAAATGCTGACGCACACCGAGAAAAAAATGAATTAAATTGAAAATTATTACAGCATAACACTATTCCCAGTATTTTCAATTTGGAAGTCCAAGTTTTGCATACTTAAGGGCATATCCTAATCAAAAAATAGAAACAGCTGAACTGATCACCGAATAAAATCAAAAATTTCAAATCTCAGACATACATGCAACTTGCTTGCATTTTACCAGCAAGCAGAATGAGATACAACACGATTTATGATTTTAAACGTTCAGAATTTTCAGAATCCTTGCTCAAATTAAGCACACTTCTAATTACTCCATACCTCTTGCTCTCGTTATATTTAATGAATTAAAAATAGCGCAAAATCGGTTGGCTAAGGAAATAGCTAAAAACGAAAAAGTTAAAAAAACTAATTTCAAGATGTTAAAATTTGCAAGTTATTCAAAAAACTGCAGTCCCTTAGAAATGATAATCGTGAATCCTGGAAAGTAAAAGCTCTTCATTTTTCTAGAGTCAAATTCATAAAATTATTTAACACAAAAATGTAAAGGTTTAAAAAGCTTACTAAAATATTCTAGTTGGAAAATACAATTATATGTATATAACATCATTACAATTCAGATACTTTAATCATCTATGGATCAAAACTTTGCAATCACAGTTGACGAATACAATGTTTCTCTTCCTCCCTCTCCTCTCCCGTTTCGTTAGTCTCTCAGTAAGCAAGATACATCAAATAGAATTATAAAACGTAGAATTTCATCAATGTGAAACAATCAAGACCAAAAATTAGAAATATATTATCTACACAACTGCACAGAGTTCCGGTTAAATGTAAATTTTAGTCCAGAAGTTTTAATTCAAAGGAACTTAGATAGAACTTTTTTTTCTCTCAACTTCTCGGATGACCAATCTATTTCGCTTCAAATAACAGGCAGGAATTGAAAAGGGTGTATCGTTAATTCTTTCATTCCCTCCAATGCTCTCTAAACGACGCCGTTTCTGTGAAGAATACGACAAAGTGGATGAAGTTGACGGGAATTCCTGGAGTGCATATTCATCGATTACCTAAAAAAGCAAACACTACGTATTTAGGTATGAGAACTCCCAATTTATCAACCATCTCTTACCTTGCTAGTTGGCGTTATTTTGCATTGTACTGATTTTCACAGTTGATTAAGCTTCTGAATCCTAAGCATTGCATTTAATTTGAAATAGAAGATTGAACATAATTTTAAAACTGTGATAGCCACTGCTGAGCAACAAATAAGTGTCAAAATAAAACTCACCCCTGCTTCCAAAACTTCGTCTTCATTTTGCGTCCGAAATATGTCATCGAAAATTTGCATAATTTTCGCATCAAACCGTTGCTCCATCAGGGTAGTGGTACGAGTAACTGCTCGTGTGACCTCTCTTCGAATGGCTTGCTGTACATCAAATAATAATTGATTTTTCAGTGCATTCATCTCAGGTGTGAGCTCGACTGCTGCGCCGGGAGGTGCTAAGAAACTGAAACTCAAAGTCTCGCATAAAATATCGTGAGCTAATTATAAATCTTGATATAAGTTTACGCATCGGGAACAATCCGAAATCAAAGAAAAAGAAGTTGCTAGCAGGATTTAGGTCACAACGATACTTGCACATCACACTGCATATATAACCTTCTGATAGAAGAAAACCGGCAAGAAGCACAGCCCAACCTATATATAAATCCAACGTATTTTATAGGCACAATAAATAGTAAATAAACCAACCTTTCATTTCCTTCAATTTCTTCATAGCGACCAATTTCGCTACCATGAACACTGCTTTGGTACGTTCCTTCGCCTAGTTCCGCTGCTATTGCTGCCTTCTTTAGCAAATCTCTTTGACGGAAATATGCCGCTTTAACTCTTTCCCATGAAGGGAAAAGCTTTTGCAACGTACCATGTATGTTTTCATCTCCAGAAAATGATGCTTCTATTTCAGCCATTTTATCTAGCCCCTGAAATACTAAAATTATAATAACAGTATTTCATTTGAATATTAAAGGTACGCCACGTAGTGCATACTGCAAATCAATATTGGGTATTCACAAAACTAATCAACTGGAGCAGTCATCATCAGAAATGTACATAAAGATTCTAGGAATCCAATACACTGTTGGTAAAGATCTATAAAATAGTTTCTAATGTGATCAAAAAAGACAAATCACAAATTAAACAAACTTCCGCATGAGCTTCCCGTGGATTTTTTTCACCTTTCCTGATACTTCTACGACACTCACGATCCAGATTTTGGACTAAAACACTTTCTTCTGACAGCGGTTCACATCTTCGATGGTGAAGTGGCCTATCGATTATCTCACCATATTCTACTTTTACATATGCTTGCCGGTCTGGTCCATAAAGGCGCTTCGCACGAGAACACCCAAGGCATCTGCAACACATATACATGGATTTTCCCAGCTTTTAAAAGCTTTTTTCTTCAGTTTCTAAATTTTGATTTCGGAAAACTTTCGTAATGCTAAGCTAAAAAGTTAATAATTTGCGAAATTTTAGTCTCTCCGTCTGAACGACTTATGGGAAAAGCAGTAAAGATGATGAAATGAAGGAAGCAAAAAGCATGAACCAAGTATACTCCCTAATATTTGTGCTAAACAAATGCACACCGACCTGTAATACGACCGAACATTATCTGATGAAGTTTTCATATACGAATACTGCCGAAAGCCTTCATTTTCTGGTACAGTAATGAGTGTTTCATTCAAGTACTTCGAAAGTCCTGGTCGAGCTATCAGAACGGTGTCGCTGAAGATTCAGAATAATATTTCTTTAAAATAAAATACAAACATATTCTCTAAACTGGAAGAGGCATAAAACAAACGCGAATTTTCTTGTCTTTTAAAAGCGAATACTCAACTCGTCAACTCATAACAGAAATGAGAAAAGTAGAAAAAAACCTTACGCTTCATCTGGTTCAGTCGGTGAGTCAGCCTTATCATCGGTCTATAAATAAGAAAATACAAAACCAATTAACATGGAAAAATGTCTAATTGTGAACACGAATATGTGACACATAATCCGCTATAGCAAACTCACAGTGTCAGTCAGGAATTTCCAAGAAATAATGACCTGTTTTTTAAGATATCGACAAAGAGTAGGGCTAGATACATCAATATCTAGATTTTCTTTGATCAGTTTTGCAAGTTCCGTCAAACTTGAAACTTCTCCACGCTTGTAGCCTTCAATTAAGTCTCTCAGTACACTGAAAACAAATCTAAATTAACCTGTTATCAATCATAAACTGCTATTTTCAACTCTAATCAAATTTTCAATAAAATCTAGCATGAAATAACATACGCTTCCTTGTCCTCCTCCTCCATATCTGTTGAGCCACGACATCTTGTCAACAAACTGCAAAAGAATAATGTTCAATTAGCATTTATAAATTTTTTTTTCAATTAACATTAATATAAAGATTTCTTCTAATCTCTGAAGATTTTACCCCTCACCTGGTAATCAAGACTCTAACAATTTTTGAAATTTATAGGTGTAAAATTTCATTTCCACCCAATTTCCATAATCGTCATAACTTCATATGGATAAAATCTGTCTGAGATTAAAGGGAAAATAGTAATGAAACCTTTCAATGCATTTATTGATTGCTTCTTCTTCATTTGGTGGTTTTACCACATATCCAACGGTATCGAAAGATCTTGCCCACCTCATTTCCTTGAAACGCGACTAGAATTTGTATTATCTTAACCATATTTTCCAAAGTTATGCTTTTTTTTAGAAGAATATATGTTTGGCAAAAAATTTTGTACAATCTATAGCTATCTTAAAATAAAAGGAAAGAACTTACATTGGTTAATACACGCCTACACATATTGAGTTGCCGTGCTTCTAGATCCTCCTGCGTTCTGCGGAATACATCCACCGGTGTAGGTGTACACAACTGATTATGTGTCGGAAACGGATCCGTTACGATGATGCTATCACGCATTTTAATTGTTGGCCGTTCACCCTGGCCAAGTTTTTCATATAAATGATCACATGTGGAGCAGCGATACGATGCGCTTCGACCCGTTGTACTAGTGCGGCGATAAACACGAACAAAACCATTGTCTTCATAAATTGCTAAACCGTTATCGTTACCACGACTCGTTTTCACAAGCTCAAAATGCACGTCATATCCGACTTCATCAACCGGCGCTGGTGAATCATCGGGTTCAACCTGAACTTGATATGCTGGTTCTTCCTCCACTTCACGTTTTATTATTCCCTTAAATCACGATTATCCGTGATGGTGATCCAGCCGAGATATTCCCTTATCACCAATCTCTTCATTCATTTCATCACCAGTTTTTATCAAAACGGTTTAATTTCTTATTTTTTTTTGTTAGCTATTTTGTTAGCTATTTTGACCGCTTGAAGTAGAAAGAAATAGAATTTTAGCATAAAAAAAATCCAAATTCCACCGAAATATTGGAGATAAAGAACTAGATGCAGTAATGCATCTATTTTCTTATTTAAAATTTTGTCAAAAAAACATGGAAAAGCTACGAGGATTTGCTGAACATTTAATTCATATTTCAGATCCCAAACTTAAAACAAACAAAAACGCAATATAGAACAGAAAAAAAAGTGAAGACATACCCGCAATAACCTATTAGCATATGTTAATACAGTAGAATGAGAAACATTGCGACCTAAAATATCAGAAATTTTGTTGGCTGCACCTCTTGAAGTTATATCTTTGTTGATGAAATCCTCCACGATACGTCGAACATCTGGTCTTTGCCACAGTGATGGATTCCTAAGTCTTTAAGTATGTATATCAAATATTAATAGTCAAACGAAAAAGTATGTACAAAACAATGTGTTAAATGAATGTCATAAAATCACTGTGATTTTCATATTGCTCCACTTACAAAGTATCGTCATGCTATCACTTCCTCCTAAAATAAGTAAGACTAACTGTCAGATACCAAATTCAAGTATGCGTAATCTTAGTGATCTAATTATGTGGAGAATCAATATTAACACTGATTTCTATAATAGCAATTCAAATACTATTCCCCTGAGATATAATTTCGAGATGCATTAAACAATAAAATATATTACTACTATTGCATATTTCACGAAATATTACTATACGCAGCTAAAAAACTAATATAATTCATTCATCATTTCAGTTGTTAAGAAAAATAAACTAATTAAAAGATTTTAAATGTCACTTTCTCGACTGTCTTGTGCCATATGAATTACCGTCGCTGCTTTCGAAACTTTCATTTTGTTCTGGCTCAACACTTTCTCTGTTAAATATATGTTCTTCCAACGCTTGTGCGAGTTTACTTTCCGTAAGTTTACTTAAATAAACCTGCAAAAACACTTCCCATGCAGTGATTATTGCGAACTCCTAGACAAATAAAATGGTGCATTGGATCGCGAATTTCAGACTCACGTCCAGTATAGCATTGTAAGTACTGAAAATCTTAAACTTTATTCTCTTATCTTTCCAAATAGACTTGGAAAATAATTTCACCAAAATACAATACAGCACAAAGTATTTATTTGAATTCTGGGCACTATATTAGGTCTGCATGATCAATTTTAAGCTACGATAATTAACGCCAAACCATATAGACAAACCTCTTTATACATAAATCAATCTCTAAAAACCTTCCAGTAACAAAAAATCACAGGAAAAAACGGAACCTCCTTATCGACATTCTTGTCACTATTTAATGAAACTTTGTATGGATTCAGGATACCATCATCGGTCATCGATGTCACATCAATATCAGCATCCATATCCTTGGAAATCATCTAGCCAGTTTCACGGATATATATTTCACGTATCGAATGACACAAATCAACGAAGAAAATGATGTATAGATGGATTAAACTTTTCTGGATAAAGAAAACCTCCTTACCCTTAAATCAAGAATAAGGAGGTTTGACAAAACAGATTTAGAAAACAAACCGAAATTCTACGAAACACTAAAGAGTGAGAAAAACTGGACCAAAGATAATTAGTTCTCCCAACATTTGTGAGTTAGCAGTAAGGAAAGAAAAGGAAAAATTAACTATTAAAAAACGATATGAAAAATTATCTGCAATTCAAGGCATACGAATGATGAATATGTTATACCCAGCTTCATATTAGCAAATTATTTTGATACCCATATCACTGCCACTGCTGCTTAATCATTTTGTAAAATGCTCAAATTAAGGCTTACATAATTTTCTTTTGTTCCTACTTCTCTCAAATTTTCCTTCCAGCTTAACATTCATTTCGCTTACCTATTTCTTTCTTCCTAAAAGTGTACATTTTTTCTTGCTTTCTAAATATGCACAGCTATTTATTCCTTGCTTTCAAAATATGCACAACTATTTATCCCGTGCTTTCTAAATATGCACAGCTACTTATTTCTTGCTTCTTAAATGTGTGCAACTATACATTTCTTGTTCGCTAAATGTGTGCAATTATTCCTTCCTTTCCAAACGTGTGCAACTATTTATTTCTTGCTTTCTAAATCTGCGCGACTGTTCCTTTCTTTCCAGATGTGTGGAAGGATTCATTTCCTGCTTTCTGATGTGTGCAGCTATTTATTTCGAGTTTTCTAAACGTGCGTAAATATCTATTCGATGCTTTCTAAGTGTACGCAATAGTCATGTTTTGACTCCTCGCCTTCTAAATGTGTGCAACTACCCTTTCTTATCAACACCACTTCAATCCACTTAAATCACCGACCAGTCGTGACATAACTGCAACAAACAATAAAAGTGTAATAATCAGACAGTTCCAGTCTCAAAGTTAACAAACCACGACCAACGAAAATCCACAGAGATTGGAACAAAAAAGATCCACTGGGAACCTTCGCTGGGTGACAATGATAATGGCCTACAAAACCAACACAGACGGGATGTCATTGCGCACCAATGACTTGGTCTGTATTATTTTGAATGTCTCGATGTGAAATTGTTGCATCTATTTTTTGTGGTTTAAAACTTTCCATGCAGTCATTTGTATGTTTGAATGCTTACGGCTCACACATTCGCAGGTCATACATAACCTTCGATGATGGTTGTTACAGCTTCGGTTCCGGTTTTTACTCTTTCAAACTCTAAACTTGAAACATAATATAATGGCTTTGTGTTATTGTTATCAGTGGTCAGTAAAAGATAAGTAAATTCATCCTTTTCATGTGTAGCTATCAATAGTAGTATTATTTATAGGTTAAAAAGAAAATTTCAATTGCACTGGAAGTAATGCAAACATTTTTTAACTGATCAAGGTAACGAGATGCACATGTCTTTCATGTGAAACTTCTTTTGAAGAGTGGTATAATGGCTATGAGCTATGCGAAAGCTTTGTCGCCGTACGACAATAAGGGTGTTCTAGGATTGCCTGAGGTTGCAACTTCAACAGTTCGCGAAATCGAGTTCATTAATATCTTCTTCCTGTTCCAATAATTGCTCTTCATTCGTAATAGTGTTTTGAATTGTAGTATTTTTTTTTTTTTTTTTTTTGGGTTTTCGTCGATGGTAGTCAGTGACGGAAATTGAATTATACTACCAATTGTTAGATTCTTAGTTTTATATGATGTGAATTTAGATTATCGATGATCATAATGAACTGAAACGAAAAGTGGGCAAGCTTGCAGAGTTACTATTGGCAAGTCGTTGTTGTGTGCTACATACAGGAGCTGGTATCAGTACTACAGCAGGTATACCAGATTTCCGCGGTCCTAAAGGATTGTGGACTTTGGAAGCTCGGAACGAACCAGTTGATGATGGAGTTAGTTTTGTTGAAGCTTCTCCAACTTATACTCATTACGGAATTAACGCACTGGAAAGCAGAAATATCGTCAAGTAAGTTATTTGGATTTTTGTTTGTGAGAAATTTGGATAAGAAAGAAGACTTTGAAAAATTGAAATTTACAGCCGAAAAAAAAAGGCAGAAAAGAAAAAGCAGGAACGTCAGCTGTGGATATTTGCATTCTGTCTCTATTTTATGTTATATGAACATTTCACAACTTCTGAAAACTATTATGAACGTCAAAAATTCATAGAGTTAGCAGAAAAATATTCCTTTTCTGCTGTTAAGATCATTTAAAATCTGTGAATCTATATATCATATATTGAATCTATATATCATATATTTCAGATTTGTTATTACCCAGAATGTAGATGGTTTGCACATTCGTTCAGGATATCCGTTGAATCGTATCGCTGAACTTCATGGAAATGTATTCCTGGAAAAATGTTCCAGATGTAGCAGGTAATAAGAATCATCGTCATTCCAAACTTCATTTTGTCATCAGAATCAGTTTAATTTTGTATCGGATTTTTTGAGTTTGTAGTTTTTAAAACACTAGATTATTTGCTCTATTATACTATCGATGATTTAGAAAAATTTTCTGCCTTTTTTCGTCTATTCGTTGTCTGCTTTCTGCGATGTATAATAAGAAAGGATATTGGACGGTTTTCAGGACAAGGTTAATGATTATTTTGTTCTAGAAGATATTATCGGACTACGCCAACTGGAAGCATCGGTTTAAAACCTACCGGGAAACGATGTGAAGGTACAAATAGCGGGCGGCCTTGTCGTGGAATGCTGCATGACGTTTGTTTGGACTGGGAAGATCCATTACCACAAGAAGATCTTTATGCAGCTAATGAATTCGCAAGGTATTTTGAAGTGTTACTTGTGCGGAAAGAACAGCAATGGTTTCATAGCAGAGGCCTTATTATGATCTATGTTTAGATTCGTTCTTATAGGTCTTTACTAGAATCCTCAAATTGTGCTGTGCTGTACATCATCAAATAGTAGTTGATTGTACAAAATGGGTCGATATCTCATGAAAAGTTTTGTGATTATAGTAATAGCCCTATCAATTTATTCAGTAGATGAATTGCTACTATTGTTGGTATTAGTTAGTGATTACAGAAATGCCGATCTCAGCATTTGCATGGGTACAACACTCCAAATAACTCCTGCTGGTGATCTACCACTTCTAGCCAAGAAAAATGGTGGTAAAATGGTCATCATTAATCTTTCAAAAACAAAACATGTAATTTTCAAACAAATATTAGCAAATTACTACATTTATGTAATATTTATCAAAATTTCATTGAATGGTCGTATTTTTTCTAATCATTTAACCTAGTCTAATCACTTACCGAAGAGTCACGTAATTCACACATTCACACGGCATATGACTTCATGTTTCCTAGGTGCTATTGAGTGATTTTTTCTTAGTAGCAGTTGGGTTTTTTAGAATTGATTTTAACATTCTGTTTTGCTTGATATTCCAGAACAAATGATTTGACGTTTGCTCCAATTAAGGATGAGAAAGCCGATCTCATAATTAATGCTCGTGTGGATGATGTGATGCGAATGTTGTTGACCACAATGGATATTGGTGTTGTGCAGAAATTTAATACTAATTTTGTTGTACCTCTTTCTATCCATCCGCTGGAGAGGTTCAGAAAAAACAGAAAGCGACGGAAACTGAAGAAGGAGAAGGAGGAATGAGCCACATGGTGTTGATATTTAGTCCAATGATTTATTCGAAAATTGTCTGTACAATGGAAAAAAAAAATGTCTCGTTTTGGAAATCTTGTGTTTTTGCTTGGCATTTTTTTTATTTGAGACGTGTAAAACATCATGTCTGAAAACTTCTAATGTTAACTTTCCGGGCTTTATTCGAAAGTTTGTCTCCGAAATATAGTTGGAGATTTTGCAAATGTAAGAACAAGTTGATCCCATGAGATAAAAATTGTTACAGTTACTGGCAGTGTGGTTATTTTACACAACACTGATAATCAACATAGTCGTTATTTTCGTCAGTTACTGCTAAATGAAAAAAGCTGGAAGTTTTGATCAAACTTGAAATCTGACTATTCAGATAAAGCTGTTGTCCAATGATGCTATTCGTATCATCGGGTCAGCGGTGTGAGACATACGCAAGGAATCATAAAATAAGCAGTTACGATCAAATAGTATTACAATAAGATAAGTTGGTACATGGAGTGCTGTGATGAGAATTCCGTCTATTATACTTGTTCGTGATTCATTTGTTTATGTAAACATTCAAGTTTTACCGAACAGTTTATGCTGAATTGTTCAGTTATGGAAAAAAAAAAACTAGTTGCCGTTTAATGTCCAGCTGCAATAATGCCAAGCATGAGAAATTCATTTGTTAATATCGGAATGGATTAATGAAATGGAATAGTACTGATTTTGTCACCGGAAGGATATAGAAGGAGAGAGAGAGACAGAGATAGAAGAAAAAAGCTCATTGTTCGAATAACAATATCTGATCACATATAATACCCAAACTGCGTTCATAATACATTATATTTCAAAAAACCGGAAAAATATGATCAAACTAATATAAGCTTTTCCTATTAATTTTTGTTAAATTTTTGTCCAAAGTTTTCCTTCTGCTCTTCACCATCTTCACCACTGAATTTGATAATGATGAATGATAACAAGAAGTTACTGATTAAGCATCTTACATTTATGCACAGTATCATCAATACGCAATACGGCGTGAAATAATGTAGAAAAATTATAATCGTAAACGATATGAGAAAAAAACTACCAAATTTTTTATTTTTTTCTTAACTTTTCATTGGAACATTTACCCGAAAATTTCGAGCAGTAATTATTTTATTTCCGGTAAAAGAATAAACTTTTCTAAAGAAGTGTAACAATTTTATCATTGAACTATCAAAGATAGAAATTGAAATTCAGTATAAATATGATAGACAAGTTTCAAGACAGATAAGTTTTATAAGAGAAACTAACACTGCTATTATGCTACACACATGGAACTGCTATAAACTAAAATTAATCAGGGATATAAAAGCGAACAGTTGTACGAACAGAATACTCTTTTTATAGAAAAAATTTTTTCCCAATATTTAATTTTCTTTTTTTAAACCAATCAAAAATATACAATAGTTGCAGGAAATGAAAATTATTACATTCATTATTACAAAAACCAATTAAAAATCAATGATAAAAAAGAGAACAAACAGAAACAAAAACAAATTCCGAAGTGTAACGTCGTAACAATTAGTCACCACCATTATATGCGTAATCTGCTTTGTTGTGCATTATTAGACGATCTTCTACAAAATAGAAACTGTCGGAACGTGTTTCATACGGATTTGAAACCATCTCATCTACTGAAAAAGAATTAGTTAGCATTAAATTTCATTCTTTAAATATCAATTAACAAAAATCTTAATCATTGAAGGAATAAATTCTTTAATATAGAAAGGTTGGAGAAAAAATTATAAAAAAAAAATGTTTGTTGATAAGTTAATGCATCAATTAATGTCAATTTAAAAGAAGCAATGAAAGCAATGTTATCAAAATGTGACTTACAATACGATATATGAAATGAATGAACAATCTTTGATAATTTTAACTGAGAGTGAATTTTATAACTTATTAAATCAAAATATCAGATAAATATTAATTGATATTAAATTATATCAGACAATTTCTCACCGATTAACCCTCTTTATCTCTCTTCTGAATAACTTAGCAAAAAAAAAAAAAAAAAAAAAAAAAAAAAACGAAATAAAAATCTTTAGATTAAATATAAGCATTGTATAAAGTAAGCAATCAGTGATTTAAAATAATTTCTTTTTAAAAGAAAACACTTAAAGTATTTAATTGATTACCATAGAAAAAAAGCGGAAGGATAAATTTCACAAACAAATTAGATAAATTTTTTCTCGTTTTTTTCATCTATTAATCACTGTTTAGCCTTCCAACTAAAGATTTATGAAAATCTTCAGAAATTAACACAAATTGTATTTGCTTAAAATAAAAAAAAAAATGAATAAAAAGAAAAAAAATTAAAACAGAAAAAAGTGTCGAAAATCAATATCGCTAAACTTTAAATAATTAAAAAAAAATAAGTAATTCTTCACAAATTGTTTATGTTTATTCAAATTTTTTTTTTCACAAAAATTCACAAATTTAAAAATTGTTTATAGAAACATTCTGTTTTTCGCTTTTTTTTTAACGTAAAATTTCAGTCAAAAAAATGAAAAAATGAAAAAAAAAAAAAAATGAAATGTAATGAAAACAATAAATTAATAAATAAACAAATAAAAGAATATAATATTATGAAAAGATATTTCGTTTATTAAAACACTAACTCAACGATTCAGAGAGTTGTGGAAAATCATAAATATGTTCACATGTATTTCTACTGTTCGGAATGCAAAAGCCAAATTCGAAATCAAAACTTTTTAACAAACGATCACGGAAGAAATGTCGTTCAATCATACGAAATTTATTCACTGGCTTACTACCAACATTGAATTCAACCCTGAAAGAACAAAAAAAAAAAAAAAAAAAAAATAAAAAAACAAGAAACTATGATTAATAACAAAAATTAATCAATTTCACGAGTTTTTTTCAAATTTTACCCGATTTTTCTTTTAATGCTTTGACATCAAAATAAGAAAAAAAATGACAAAAAGGAATGAATTCAAAAAAAATAAGAACATATTTATTATGCATAAAATAATTCGTTATAGTTATAATAAAATTCAAGAATTCAAACATTGGATAAAATTTTTTTTTGAAGTTAATCATTAATCATTTACGGTTACAAAGAATTAAAGAAAAAAATTGAAAATTGTTGAAATTGCCCCTCAGACGTCATAACACATCACCTAATTCTATATATGGAATGTGACTTACGTTGCACCAACATGTTTAAGAAGTAAAAATGCAGGTGTGAACTGATAACGAACAAAACGAGCAGCACTCGTATCATCACGTTTCTCCAAATTTAAATCATCAATGTCAAGCTCTTCTAGAAATGTTTAATTATTTTAAAAAAATAATAATGAAATGAAAAATAAAATAAATATTCATTCATTCATGAAATATGAAAGATATCAGTGTATCCACTAATGTGACGGTATGAAATGAGTAACGTATATTTCCTTAATAAACAATGTTTATATTTATGATATGTTAATGAATCTAAATTATTAATTGAGATAAAAGTGAGAAAAACAAAAGAAAGAGGAAATTAGATTTACCAGAAGTAGGTTTAGCAATTTCGAATAGAATTTGATCAGTGTCTAAATCACGAATTTTAAACCTTGTAAATTCGATATCATAAATATTCGCATCTGGTTCACATAAATAATCTGTCGAAGAAAAAATAATATAAATTAATGACAAATCCGAGTTTAGTTTTTAAAAGAAGGAAACAAAAGAAACAGAAAGAGAGAGAGGAAGAAAAAAAGAACTAACAATAATAACAATTAAAACTATCCAATCACTGATTTTTTTTTTTTTTTTTTTTTTTTTTTACAGCTAATTTATCTTTTTTGCTATTGAATTTTAGATATTAAAAAAAAATTTTTTTTTATCACTTTCAGCTATTAAATAAATATATTCAATCATTTGAATGAATTTAATAAATTATATTTCCTCTATTTAAATTCTTTTTATTATCATAATCATAGCCAACTATCTCAACATAATGAAAATATTAAAATGATGGTTATTCTGATTCCTTTAACAATTTTACAATAATTTATAACTTCATTAAAAGAAAAAAAAAAACATAGAAGAGAGAAAAAAAGCAACAAAAAGTAACAACAAATATTTATATTTAAATTTAAGTTCAACTAGCATTTTAAATACAGAATATACAAATAAAATAATATAAGAATAAACGAACCATCGGTAATTTTATTAAGGCGTAATACGTCTTCGGGTGTTATTATCGGTCGTGCTCGTAGTTCTGCTTCCGTCAGTGGTTCACGTATTCGATTATCTGCTGAAGTCGATGATGAACACCGACGCATTTTTGATATCATACGCTCCAGGACTGCTGCTCTTTCTTCAATTACATAAATATATGTACATGGAACAGTCAAAAAATGTAAATAGTTAGTAGTTAACTCGTGATAAAATTTTTATCACTACAAAATCAACATTAATGAAGTAATAAGTTTAAAAAGTATGCTTTTCAAATATAAAATCAAGCTTATTCCTCAACAAACTGATAAAAAATATCACTTAAGTGATAATTATGACTAAAAAAAAAGAAGCTAGACAGTATCGTATAATAATTAATTTGTATGAAAAAAAAAAAGAAGCTAATTATATTATACCATTTAAATGATGAACTATCAATACAGAGAAAAATCGTTCTCATCATATTTTTGGATTCAATTATGGAAATTTCTTAATTAGTATTTATCCTTCCAAAGAGAGGGGGAAAATTTTTTCATTTCACTGATACAATTTTGTTATCTTCTTCTTTGTTATTATTACTACTTATTATATATATGTCATAAAGAGATAATTATTTGATTCAAAATTTAGTAAAACAGGAAATAATAATAATATAACCATATCAACATTAATATACAGCACTTGAAAGAATAAATTCTTTCACATATAAGAATTATTTTTCGTTTCCATGATGACAAGAAATAACTTATTATCAAATAAGAGAGAGAGAGGGAGAGAGAGATAAAGAAAGAGAGAAAAAAGAGGGAAAGAATTCCCTTGTATTTCATTGAATTTTATTTAGACCGCGTTCCATAAATATTTTCTTTATAAAAATATTACTGAGGTATAACTAATTATCTCATTTTTATGATTTTATTTGTATAATATAGATAATACTGTATAATGCATTTTAACAATATTTTCATTTCCTCTTTTTTCTTTTTCTTTCCTTTTCATTCTCAATTATTCTTATGAATTTATTGAAACGTTTGTGATTACTTTTTAACAAAAAATTGAAAACAAAAAACAAAAACGAGAAAAAGAAGGGATAATGATTAAAGTTTCGAATTTCTGAATTTGTTATAAAATTTTTTTAAAAAAAGAATAGAGAAAGACCAAATTCTTAAAAGTATTTGAAGGTGCTTATTTTCATTTGTATATGATGAATTTAAAAATATTTAAAAATTTTTAAATAAATGGAAAACACAATTTAAAAATATATAGAAATATCGAATTAACAACTTTAATTAACTTAGTAAAAAAAAGGAATTACTATTTGTTTATAAAAAAAAATACTATTAAATTATATTGTCTTTTTACCAATCCAAAATTTTACTCCACAAAACAACCATAAGTCTTTTCCATGTCTAAAAATTTTTGATCGAATTGTAACAATTATACTATCCTTTTCTCTTCTTTTTCCTTTTTACCATCCATAAATTAGATTACTTTTTCAGTCATACAATGAGAAGAAAGAAAATAAAAGACAAAGTTAATCGATATTTGAAATATTTTTAATTCTTTCTCAGTTTTTTTTTTTTTTATACAAGTAATTAAAATATTACACCGAACATCATACACATATTTAATTACTGGATAAATATGAGAAGAAAAAGAAACTATCATTTTCGTCACAAACAAAATGAATAGATGATAGATCAATACGAAAGAGAGTGCCTAGGCCTAGACTTATTTTTATGTGTTACTATGTGAAAATAATAATAGTGCCAAATCTAAATTCCATACGTAAGCAGTTAATTGCTTAATGATAGCTTAATTCTTATTTTCCTCCTTTTCTTACTTGTAATATAATTCCAACAATTACATTCAATTTCGATTGGTGACAATTAATAACAAAATACAAATTATCATGGCAAGTATGCATGTCTTTCTTAATTTCAATTGCTGAAAGAGAATGGAAAAATCGTAACAAACACTTAATAATATTATTTATACTTTAAAAATAAATTAATGCTTTGTTGTCTTACAAAGTATAATTTACCTAACGGATAATTTTGAACTGAAGTTAACAACTGATGAATTAATTAATCAGCAGAGTAAAAGACCATATATTTGCTAAACATTATCCATGATAAAAAGTAAAATCAGAGTTGAGAGTTATTTCTTTAATTAATAATATGACCATTTAGTTATTAGGGAAAACAATCAGGAACAAAAAAAAAGAAAAAAAAGAAATGAAAATAAGTGACAAGTCTGTTTTTTCTATCATCATTAAATTTCAAAACTGCTTTACAGGAGGAAAGAGAGAGAGAGAGAGAGAGAGAGAGAGAGAGGGAAAGGAGGAAAATTTAACTCCTCAAAGTGACTGATCGATAAGAGAGAAACGACAACATAAATTGCTCATCTTTTTCTTCCTATTATTTTTCTTGTCGCCTAAAATGTGAAATAAAATGAAAGCAAGCGAAAAATCAATTTGATTCAACAAAAGTAATTCAAACAACGGAATATACATATATGTTTATAAATTGATGTTTCAAAAATTTTTTTCTCTTTTTAATTTTCTTAGTGTTTTTATTCGTCAACAGAAAATCAAAGTACTATCAATTCCTATTGCTAATAAAGCTATTATACCTTACAAAAATTAAACATAAGCAATTCTATTTCCTTACCATAATATCAAACTTTTGTAATTTATTAAACGAAAACAAACGAATTGATGTTATTCATTAAAATATAATCAACATATATATCACCACACTTTCTTTGAAATAGTAAAATATATAAATAAAATATATACATATATATGCAAATTTTAATGAAATGAAAGAATTATTAAAGCGCTATTTGAATACTTCTGTGCTGTTTACAATTTTTGTTTTAGTTTATTAAATAAATAAATACCTATACTTGTTAACACTGTAGGAATGTTGTATCTAAATGTATTAATAAATTCAATTTGGTAATAATGAAAAGAAAAAGGCCTTTTGAGAATATTAAATGAGAAAAAAACTAATTATCGGTGAAAGATTTCGTAGTATGAATGAAGAAAAAGAATTCTATTTGTAATCAATTCATTTTTTCTTTTTTAAATAAAATTCACTTTTTTTATTCCTTTTTTCTTCTGCCTTTAAACCTTTTTGAAAAAATGCTCAAGACATAAGAAATCTTAAAAAAATTTCGGATTTTCATTTAGAATAAAAAAGAATTATTTTTTCCTGCAAAGAATATACTATTATAATATTTTATATGCATGCTAAATTCAAATGAAAAAAGAAAAAGATGAAACTGCGTTAGAGAAAAGAATTAACAAACATACATTACCAAGTTATCTTTTTAATGACTCAACCAAAAAAAAGAAAAACTTCGATTATATTAAACGTCAATATAAAGAAGTTCTATTACATTAAATATTTAAACATTAGAAATGCAAAAAAAAAAAAAAAAACCATTCCAATCTATTTGAATCCATTTAGCAAAACTTTTAATTAAATCAATGGTAACAATATATTATTATTATTAATTTTGATGACAAATAAATAGAAATGTTACATTACATAATTTAATATGATGATTAACTTGATACATTAAAGCAATAATTAATAGGGCAAATTAATTACAAATATTAATTTTAGTGTTTGAAAGACAAAAAAAGCAGAAAAAAGTTAGATAAAGTTCACGAAGGAAAGCTGAAAATGAAATGCTTATTTCTGGACAATGGCAAACAAACAATTGATCCTATTTATCATCCCGTATCAATATTAATAGGTTTAAATGTCATTCATTCATAATTAATAATAAAAAATTGCAAAAATAAATGAGTGAAATGATTGAAATAAAAAAAGTTTATAAAAATATGCTAAAATAAATGAAACATTATTTATAGCTATATTTTATACTGATATACGATAAAAAATGAATGAATAATAAACCACCCTTGTTGGAGAAAAAAAAGGAAAATGAAAGTATAAATGATTTGCATAGATATATCTGTATTAACACTCTTCAATGTAAAATTTTTAACTTTCTCTTCTTATGATTAATAAAATGCTAGCAAAAGAGATATTTAGAATACTGTGCGAATAGAAGAAAAGAATGAAATGTGAGTAATTCACTGCAGTACATAGATAAAATAGAAAGTTTAAAACCGAATCGATTAGAACCCTTAGCAGATTTAACTTGTCGCTTTAAGGAAAAAGGAAGAAACGAAAAGCGGATTATTTCACCAAAATTCAAATTTAAATAGCTCAAATTACAAGCTATTGTCTACTTTTTTCTTCTGTTGTTGAAATGAAAAAAAAAAAAAAAAATGAAAAAGACGTCTACGATTTGCTCCAAAAAATTTTTTGACTTAATTAAAACCTTGCCATTGTCAGAATCAAAATTTATTCCAATATATTAAATTCAAAATCCGGAATCAGAATCGAATCAGGAAATCTACATTCTGTACAACAATATCTCGGAAATTAAGATACATTTTTGCAAGGGATTGGTCGATTAATAGCTACAAATTTGACAAAAAGCTATGTTTGTTTTAATCATTTTTTTTTCCAATTATGACAAAACGGCTAAATGTAATGAAAAGCTAATATCTAATGGTTAAAATAAATTAAAGAGAGAGAAAAAAACGAGTGAATTAGTAAATAAGCGAATGAAATCATGAAGAAATCGAACAGATCAACAATCAAAAACATTAAAATTCATTATTGTTTTTAGTACAATCCATCAAAATTCAAAACAAATTTATCACAAAAAAAAATTATTAAATCAACAACGGTCACGAAATTACAGTCATCTCTTTTCCTCTTTTTTTTTTTTTTTTTTTTCAAAAAAAGAGTTACACTCCTTTATTTCAGTTTAATATCTGCCAATAACTAAAATCGAATTGGCAAATAGGACAGAATAAGCATACCGTATTTAATTGCCATCTTTGGAATGTTCATAGAATTTTTAATTTACAGAAGCAATTCACTGAAATTTTTCGACAGAAAATTTCTTTGTTGTCCTATGACAGAGCATGCATGAATTATCAAAACATTAGTTATCAGACATATCAAGTCTCCATTAGTACAATAATTACAAAATACATCAACACTGAGTTCTCTTCAAAAGCTTAGCAAATTGAGCGCACAGATATATAAATAATAATATGTTATATTTTATTATGTGATGATAAAATTGCAAAAAAAAAAAAGAAAATTGAACATAATAATAACTAATTATTTCTTAAACTGATAGATAACTTAAATATTGGACTGATGCTATCTGTATAAACCTTGAACTGTCTATTCTAAAAAGCAAAAATGATTCCTAAAAGAAAGATGCAAAAATCAATCGTGCACAACCAATATCAATGATACTTCCATGATGCAAGTATGCAATTTCATGCTTGTAGTTCACACTATTTGTAGCTGTGCATGAACAAAGAGAAGGAATATTTGTGGAACTATCATCGCTATTTCTATACGTTATTCCATCAACACGAAAACGATCGCCATGCTTCAGAAGCAGCTCAAATCGCCGAGAAACCTTTAAAAAGGAAAAAAAAAAGTCAAAACATAATATTTTTTAAGTACACTTAATAAGCTGAGTTACAATTTCATTAATAAAACCAAAAAATCCAAAATTCATTCATTAGCAAAAAAAGAAATTATACTCACGCAACTCATAGGAAGAATATGGGTCGACCTAATAAGTTCAGTAATACTATACGGAATGTCAAACGATAGACCAATTTATTTAACAAAGTTCTGAATTTTGCAGCAAGAGTTAGCCTTACGAGAAATTTGCAGTAACAGTGTTGATCTCTTTAAGAAAACAAATAAGTACAACACTAATATTAAAACAAAAAGAAAATTGTACTACTGTTAAATAAGAGGACTTACTTTATTAAACAGTAACAAAGCATGACGTCCAGCGATTGCACGACAAAGTGGCGCAACTTCTCTCAAATTAAAATCACATAAAGAATCGATGCCTATAGTTGTATTCATCTGTTGTATAGGATAAGCATCCATATCATTGGCTTTTAATACGGCTAGCACTGGCAAATCATCATGTAAAATTTCTGTAACCAAAAGAGATGCATGAAGTTTGATTTAAATTTTACAATTAAAATATATGAACAAAGTATCATCTTTATCAGGACAAAAAACATCATGGTTTGCTTTTTTCTTAAGAATATGAATCAAAGACGACGGCCTAAACAAAATATAATTTTTTTTTTTCTGCAATGACTATGGCTATTCTTTTGGAGAAAGTTTTGGTCCTTAAATGATTTTTTTTTTTTTTGTTCAAATATGAAAACAATTCAAAAAACTAACTTTTCTCAAATTTCAATCTTTTAATATTTCGAGAACTTTTCGCCGTACACAATAACTGCTCTAATCTCTGATAGGCAAGAGAACCAATAATGCGATATTCTGTAGTTTCCGGATTTTCCATCAACGACAGACAACCGCGTCGAATACGCTTTAACAACGGTAGTTCTACAAAATTTGCCTGAAAAGATAAGAAAATGAACAGCGGAGCATAACTCAAAATTCTGGAAAACAAAACCATTTTCCATATTTTGAAAATTGAATTTTAATTCAAATTGTTACCAAACCAGAACACTGCATATGCACATCGTTTTGTGATTCTAATTGACGTTGCTGCCCAGTCTCTGTAGTTCCAGCAGTAGCTGATTCTTTTGTGATATCCGGTTTCTTAGAATTATCTTCATCCTGTTTCTCGTCCAAATCAGTACTCCTATCTCCACACAAATCCAGTTCAACTTGCATTTTTTGCATTCGTACAATATTTCTAAACCATAAATCCTGTTCCTTTTCACTGGGTAGTTCATCCTTTTTCCACTGGTTCCATCGTGTCTCATATAATTCTTTGATACATTCAGGGACAGAGAAACACGGAGTCTAAAAATTGAAATGAGACATGAAACTTATTTATTGAAATTATTAATTTATTAGATTAGATATAACAAAAATTTCTGTTAAATCATTTCCAGCATATTGTCTAAAAAGTCGCCTATTCTTGTCCATTAGTTAAAAAATCTAAAAAAAAAAAAAAACTGCAGTTAAGAAAAAAGCCATAAAACTATTGGCAGCAAAGCAAGGGAGGTTTTCTGCCAATAAGGTAACTTTTAATATAAATAAAAAATTATTTATACTAAAAATTAAAATTACAATAAAAATTTCAGGAAAATAAAATCACTAAATAAATAATAATACGATAGATTAACCAACCCTGATAGTATCATCCTCCACCTCTACGGCTATTTCTCGTTCCCGAAGAGCTTTTTTAAGAAATGAGATTTTAATTAAATGTTCATCAATCGGTTGTCTAGCATATTTTTGCCAGATATGTAATCGTTTACGTAACGAAAGTGTTTTCGCTAATTTTCGATCCTGAAATGGTGCTAATAAATGAATGTTTGAATTTAAAAGAGAATAAATATGCTTTAGTTACACAGTGGTATTAAAAGAAAAATGCGACTACTTTTTCTAATATAAAATAAACAAAGTAACTATAACAAAATAAAACCATAATTCGTAATTTCTGAAAAAAAAAAACCGAAGTAAACAGCCCACAATCAAATATATACATAGTTTTTCTAACCAAAATATGTTCCACATGAGCTGGACACATCCATTTATCTTTTGGTACCGAAGGAAGAGGAGGTGTAAGACAGTCGAGATGATAACAAAGTGAACAAAAATCACACTGAATCATTGTCGACTTTTCATTTCTCCTAAAATTAAACAAAACGGATTCAGAAAGTAAAAAGAATAGTTTCGATTTATAATAGAAATCGAAGAAGTAATAAATGGAGACATAATATCTGGACGTAAACGACGAATTCCCTTATACATATGCACATGTATAAGGGAAATATGAGTCAGTCATCTCCATTTAATTCATATAATGGTCAGCATTAGGCTCGATTTCAGTTAACCTAAAGGGTACTTTTGCTTGTTTACTTAACCTTCTTGAAATATCCTTTAACATTTCTGTGAAACCATCGTAATGTTTAGAAAAGTTGTTTTTCATTTTTATCCATCATGATGAAAGAAGAGTTTTCTGAAATTTTTTTGTAACATATGAAAGTACAAATCGTCATCGTCGAATGGTTAGCAATCACCATTTTCTTCTAAAAAAAAATTTGTAAAAAGATCGACTAACGATGCACAAAGATGACAGACTGCTTTCGGTGGTGGTACTAATTGTGTAGATGTTAATCGTTCGTCAAACGGTAAAGGTGGAATTTGGCAGGATAAATCATACGGAATGGAGAACTGTTCGGCATTTGTAGCTAAAGCTGCATCAGCTAATACTGCTAATGCACTAAGGCCACTATCTGTATTTTGTTCCATAATGCCAGATATTGTAGCATTATTTCGCCGTGCATCTACTGAGGAACACTCAGCATCCTGTTAAAAGAAGAAAAATGAAGCTGTACCAATATTATTTCAGTTTGGATAAAACAGAAAATCCATAGAGCTTCTATAATTGCTAGAAAAAACTAATATCATCTCCCCGATTAATAGGATTTTAGTTAAAATATTGTATACATAAACAACTGTTAATGAACTAGAAAAAGCAACTTAGTCTGACTTCATACTGTTAATTATATTAATATACTGTTAATTATATTTCTGAAGTTAATAATAAAAAATGCTGAATCTAACACGGTTATTTTGGTTTTATTTCAAGTTCAGACAGATGAAAAAATGACATGAATCTAAATTATATATTTTTCTACAATAATGTTCATTTAGTTCAAGGAACTAAAGTGTAAGACAGAAGCTGAAGTCCTGATACATGCTGTCACATAATTAAAAAAAATATTCCTCAAAATCTTAAAAAGGGATACCCTCCTAATCCGCATAGGTCTCTAAAATTTATCTGCACAAGATATCCTAAAAAGTTCAAAAGTCGGCCTAAAAAAATTTTTAGTGATAATGATATAGCATATTACCACTTTGTGTAACTTCTAGCATCTATTTTCATCCTAATAAATGCTAATCAAGCTAGTAATATATATGTATATATTCATTTATCAAAATGTTAAAAACATCACTGTACCAGTTTCGGTACTTTTTTGATTGCCTTCGGACTGGTATCATTTGCCACTGCATGCGTACAACGATTGCATAACCATTTTCCACTTGGGATAGAACTTCGTTCAATAGGTGGTTCATGACACATCAAATGAAATGATGCTGGGCACCGATCACAGCATAAAAGCTCACCACCTTCCTGCAAAATCCCGTATATATGATAATACTGATGTGACGAAAGAGCAATCATTTGAGACTTTAACAATGATGCCAAAACTTACATTCGGATAACTAATGATACAAATTTACAAAATCCATTCCAAATTTTTGAAATTTAAATAGGCAATTAATTTTCAAGAATGTCCATTTTAAAAAGACTTAAAAGTACCATGCAAGAACTACAGTACTGAGAATTTATTGATTTCCAACGTCGAGCTGGTTTTTCTTTTATCACCGATGAAACCTTTTTTGTTTTGCTACTTGTTGTTGGGCATGCAGTGCAAGCCTCGATATACTGCAACTAATAAAAGATTATACTCTTCGTTATTATCCAGACCAAAAGATTATTTCCAAAAGTTTTTTACTTGTTTCTTGCTTGTTTTGTCCCTAATTACAGTTTAATTCTTGTAATCTCGAGAGAGAGAGAGAGATCTAGCATTCACTAATTTTTCCAATATGCATGCATTCCTCAATTTTTTTTTCACTCATACAGTTTTCATCCTATTTATTTAACAGCTGTTTCATGTGTCAACATAATTCATAATTTACATATTTATTCGCTAATCAAATGAATGAACTAATACTGCAAAACAATAAACATCACAACTGCCACTAACAACATTCCTTATGAAAAAACTTTTATCTCATCACCACGTAAAACTGATTACATTTACTTTCCGTTAATCCGTGATAAATTAAAACTGATTCGTCATTTACATACGTAACATTCATATATATGCATATTACACATACACGTGCACACACACACACACACACATCAAACATATGCAAAGAAACATAAACGTGGAAAAACACGCATAGAAATACTCACACATTTACATAAAGACATACTAAGATAAATGAATATGCAAATAAAATAAAAATATGGAAATTTGGGAAGATAAGTGTGAAAATACCTCAAGAAGGCCAGTGTCCTGATTGTATACAAGTTCATTGCCATCTTTTGTCTCTTTGTCCATTATAATGCAACCGTATCAGTACAGTTATATATCATAAAAGACGTTATTATATAATATTTTGAACAATTTTAACATCTTCACTTATTTTTTTTTTTTTTTCATGTCAAATGTTATTAAATAAAATCACCAAGTTGTACTGAATGATTCTACTGTACAAATATAAAAATAATTACTTCCCAAAGCGAAAAACTTCAAAAATAAGTCATTCAGTTGAAAAAGAAAAAAAAAACATCATCTTAGTTAATTAATATAAAATTCATAAATTACCATTACTGCAATATTTATTATCAAATATAAACATCTCACATAGTTCTTCCTCATCACAACTATTTCTTATCATCAGTTATCATCTTGTATTTCTTCTGTAATATCCCATCATTCCTAATCAAATCACTGTTTGGCTTCTTTTCCAAACTCCAAACTAAAACCTGCACTTTTTCTAAGTCTGACTATTTTTTTTATAAATATTTAAAATAGTCCCGGAAGAAGAACGAAATTTCTCGCAAACTGAACCGGACTTTTAACAATATTCCGGATCCTGAAGAACACTCCCAGCTACTGTTAATCAAGAAATACAACATGTGAAATCGCTTGCTGAAACTATACCTGTCGCAATTCGGACGTGCACCTACCCAGTAATCTGGTTACTTCCGCTTTGTTTGAAATTCTCAGACGATGTTGCGAGTTCTTCCGGGTTTTTCGCACGAATTCATCTAAAGTTATCAGTAGATTTTGGAATTTCATCGGGAATCCGGATTTCATGATTTATTGTGAGTATTCTCTTTAAAGTTACTATCAGAATTCTTTCATGACCGATTTTAGGCATCTTTTTTCGTTACTTTCAGAATTTTTTTTTCTTTTTTATGGCTTATTACATGCAATCTCATGGATGTTTAACTGAATTTCAAGTGCTTTTGGGCATTATTTTATAGCTGAGAACTTTATTATAATCATTCATATAACATTTCTTGCACTTTTCAATTTCCGTTCCCAAAATTTATATATAATGACTGGACAGTGATAACTTGGTTATGAATTATAATTTACTTTCACAGACTCTTTCTTATTTCAGTGGAATTGTCTTTAAAATTGAAATGTAGAATAACTAATTGTGTTGAAATTTATTTATTCACAACTGTTGCAAAATTGTTTAATATTTAGGAATTGCCCGAAATCTACTGGAAATGCTATAAATGAATTGTATTTTAATGCTTTTGTTGTATATTGGTATCAGTGTGAAGATTAATTCATTATTGATATGCAATATGTTAAATACTGATGGCGAGGAGCGCTGTTCCGCTTTAACACCATATATGAAGCCTATAATACTGCGTGAATTCTCGAATGAACATAGAATTGTAACAATTAATGGACGAACATTTCAATTACGTCAAGATTGGCAACAAAATGGAGTCGCTGGAGTGATTTGGGATTCGGTATGATTCTCTGATGGTAATTACTCACACTGTACTTATTAGCAGTATTATTAATATGTATACATAATATAGTATGATATTTAATAATAGTGATATTTTAGTTTAACGATGCATCCAATTATTGTTAAGGATTATTAGTCCACTAATTTTTTTTTCAGCACTCTTTGTTATAAAGGTAGAACTGGCTCATTATATATACGATGATTTCCTCGGTTTTCTTTTTTCACGTTCAACACAACTTGAAAGTTATGAGAGCATTTTTAAGACTGAATTTAAATCTAATCCTTGTATTCTGTGGACTGTTAATTTTTATAATAGGATTGCTGCAGTGCAAATATCATTCCCTATCATAGCTCAAGTACTGCTACAATCTTCTGTTACTACTTGTACTGAAAAATGTTTTTTTAGAGTATTGTCTTATCTCGGTATATCTCGGAACATCCAGAACTAGTAGCAAATCGAACGGTATTAGAACTTGGTGCCGGATTAGGCTTACCAAGTATTATTTCAACCTATCAAAATGTTAAGCTTATTCATGTGACAGATCGAGTAAATGCTATAAGTCTACTGGAAGAGAATGTTCGTCAAAATGCAAACAACGATTGTGACATAAAAATTTTTGCATTTGATTGGAATATTGACAAATTGTCGCGAAAATATCAGGTACATAATTCTTTGCAGAATAAAAAATAAAAGAATTAGGAAAGTTTAAGCAAAAAATGTTAAGCACTTAAAAACATTTAGAAATAGTCTTACTCTTTGTCCTTAAAAAATCACCTGAAAAAAAAAAAAAAACCATCCGATTATCTGAAAAAGCCACTATTTTCAGTCTACGCAAGCTCTCTTTCCAAGATATAAGAACACATTGTAGTGTGAGTTTTTCTTTTAAATAATTAGGAAAGCTCTTATGGTCAAGAATGGTGAATATTAGATTAAAAATTTTTGTACTCTACTAAGTTGAAAAAATCTCTCGGAATTTTATAAACTAAACCATGAATTACAGTTATTTTCCAGATTGTTCTAGGAGCCGATCTTATCTATGGTGGTATTACATTTGAACCGTTGATGAAATTATTTCGGGATGCTAGTGACTATGATACCGTGATATATTTGTGCAGTAAAATACGTTACCAGAGGGATCAAGACTTTTATGATCAACTTGTGCAAGAGCAGTTTAGTGTACGGGAAATTTTCTATGAAAATGAGTTTGCTGTAAACATGTTTGAAATTAAAAAATTGACAAATTATTGCAACAAACAAATATACAAAATACTTTTACTCATTTCATTCTGGAGTATGGAGAAAAATATTTCGTGCTGACGAATGGAAACTGATACTGTAGAATTAGGAATTTGAATATCATGAGCTTTTAACCGACGAAAAATGATAGTTGTTGGTTGGTCATTCATCTTTATTCAATAACAACTCCCAAAATTGCGGATTTGAAATGGTTACAGTATTTCACCTTTAGCTTATGTAACTTAATTTTTGACTTGTGAGTGCATGTTTCATAACAAACTGAAGTATGAATTGCTTGTTATTCACTATTATATTTTTATTTAAAAAAAAACTTCATGGAATTTAAGCAGTTATTACAGACCTCATTGTTTCCCATTTGACAGTTACAGTAATTTGAACTATTTACGATTTCTGGAAGCATCATTACAAGTTACAGTTAGTTCCAAGAGTCAATTCCTTTCTTCTTCGATGTGACAAATCCGCGCAAGGCATTCAGCAGCAACAGAAATTTCGTATTGTTTCATGAAATTTAGACAGTTATTACAAATGACATTGTTCCCCACTTCACAAGCACAATTTGTTCGAATCACTGTCCGCATGAATTCAAGACAATTGCCATCCTTTTTGCACTTCGAGAATGACCGATGTCGTGGACAAATCCAGCATTCGTTTACATCATTTCCTCGATCATCTATAATCAGTTGGAGCAATGATCTGAATTGTGCTAAGTTCACCCGAATATCTGCAGCCAGTATCTTCTGAAAAAAAAAGTGAAGACTGGACAAAATACAACATTGGTGAGGAGAACTGGTGCAACTCCTTCAACAATCATTTATTGCAGTGACCAAACCTGCTTGTAAATTCTTAAAATCTTTTTAATAAAAAACAATCTTTGTAAAAGAACTGTGCAACAGAATAATGGAATTAGACAAAGATTTTTTTTTTTAAATTCTCAATTTTATTTTCCGAATACTCATGTGATATTTTTTTTTACTTTTTAAGTTTTTTTTTTCGAATTTTTTTGAATAAAAAAGAAAATTTGAATGATAAACAACTTTATGAAGCGCATCTGAGTCATCACGAAAAATCACCTCTGAAACAACTATACATTAGATGATTACCTCGCAAAAACTATTGTATTCCGCAGATGAGAAACAAGATCTACAATCGGCTAATTCAATGTCTATATCCATCAGACGTTTAATTATCAACTCGACAATGACATCCACATTACTTGCATTAACAAAGTTATGATTGATAGAAATTGTATCTTCCTAAATTTAAGAACATTATTTATAAAAAATAACTAGTCTCTCTTGGAAAACGTAATTTGAGCTTATCGCGGCCAAAATAATTGTCATTTTCAAACCATGATGAGACATATAACTAAAAATTTTAAATCAATTGACAAAAAGCATAGGTTTTAATTTTGATGATTATGCAATCCAAACCGCTGATGGCAAAAGCAACAGAAGGGAGCAAAAAAAGAAAACCGATCCAGACCGGATGCAATACCCAGTTATTAGACAATCTTTTCAAAATTGTATTTCTTGGATTGAGATTTATATTTTCTTGCAAATCTTAAATCTTAACTTGGTAACTTGCATTAATGCTATACCGACCAAATTATGGACTTGATGATACCAATTCGAAGGAACGAAAACAATTTCTCCTTCTTCTTGAATAAATGATACGACAGCAGCCTCAAGCCATCTGTCTTGAACCGTTCGAATATCTTTTAAAAATGTATCACGACTAATTCTAAAGTATTCCTCATTGTTCGGTGGTACAAAATACCAAAGCTTTCGTCCGCAAATATTGGCTGACCAACTATATGAATTCATCACGTCAACGTGAAATGGCGTCCTACAGTAACATTATTTTCATTGTTTTATACTGTGAGCCTAGATAAAATCATATTCAGTATTGATTTCTGAACAACACTGCTTTTGAAATTTACTAATTTATTGCATTTGTAATCATAAGTAAATTCTAATAATGAAATGAATGCTCCACCTCACATTATTTACCCTTTTTTGCTTCTCTTTTTTTTCATGTGAACTTATGGACAACTTCGAAAAAAAGATTCAATATGTTACTTATTTACTTACCTATTTATTCCAAAAAAGCGTAACTAACCAAGTATTCTTGGCTCCAAGGTAAACAAAACGATAATCGCCCAACTGATTACGCTCATCGTTTGACCACATCTCATTGTTTATCCAGTCAAAGCGCAAAACCGACGGCAATCCATACATTTCATAAGATGTACCCGATTCTCTGCAAACAGATCAATAAAAAGAAATTTTTTTTTTTTTTTTTTTTTAAAGAAAATTACGACAGCTCACTAAACTAATACTAACTCACTGTTGAAAATGCCAATCTTTAGCATAGCCAATATTACTTGACCCACTATTTTCTCGCATCATTTTGATATAATCTTTAAGCTTTATTTTTTGACATTCTTTAGAGTTTTGGGAACATGAAGATTTTTCCTCATAATCTATACACTTTCCACAATTTTCCATTATCCTATCAGTTCTTTCGTTGATCAATGGTACTTCCATATGCCCTATAATGTGAATAACGATATTATTATATATACAGAAATCTACGAAATGAACAAATTAACTGAATAATAAATTTTGAAGAAAAAGAGTAACGATAACAAGGATAATAAGTCAGTAACTAATAATTTGCTGATCAGTTATAAATCGGAAAAGTTTGGCAATGAATTTTCTGAACGAAGTATCAGAGAGATTATAATTGAGAGAAAAGCTTAACTAATTATTGTATTATTAATATCATTCACTACTTGCATGAATCAAATATTGCAAACGTTTTGTTAAATCACAGTGCTATTGTCAATTCAAAATAAGTTTTCCAAACAAAGTCATCAAAACGATTTATTACTAATGAAATGAAAGCAATCAAAAATTGATAAAGAAGAACATTTATAACTCAAAAAGATAATTTCATATTTACTACTCTAGAAAAAAGAAAAAAAAAGGAAAGAAAACGGATGGATAAAAACAAAAGGATAATAGGAAACGAAATAGACAAATTGTGAATTATTTAAAAGGAAACTTTTCTTAAAGTTAGAATTTCAATTGCATTTATTGAGAAATGTTAAATATATTCCAAATTTGAGAAACTAAAGATAAACCATATTGTTTGATGAAAAAATCGATATTTACAATATTTTTTCCATTCATATATTTCACCCATTGTCGTCGACTTTTCCATTTCTCTATTGCTTTAGAGTACATTCTACATGGCTGATTTTTGAGCATGAAATCAATGAATATATCGAGCGCCTTTGTGCTTTCTAAGTTTATCACTGGAAATGATACAGTGTCACATAATTGTCCTTCCATTATTACTTTTGTCATTTACCATTAATATCTGCAAAAAATTTGCTTAAATTCAAATTTAATTTATTCCTCTTCACATACTATTTCGGAATTCGTGAAGAGAGGAAAAAAATACATTAGTAGCAACACAAATATTTTAAATTTCAGTGTAATTCGTTTCATTTCTTAACATTATTTACATTTTAAACTTCAATATTTATCCAAGCATATTGATAGCTTTAAGATACAATTCTTCTTTTCTCCTTTTTCTTTTTTTTTTGAAAGTACAACCTCAAAATAATGAATCATGTTTACACTTTAACTTTAATTCAATGATTTTGCGTCTTTCATATTCATTTCAAAGGGTAAAAAAATGACAAATGAAAATAGTATTAATATGATGGAGAAAACAAAGATTGATAAAAATCTATAATATAATATATTTGCAGTGGTCGTAAGAAAACACAGAAATAAATGATTTTTAAATAGTACGAAGAGTAGTGATCAAGAGTGAATGGAGAACTGTAGGCATTAGGAAGAGAATGCAGTGATGACTGACGTAATTCTCGTGATGAGCAGAGAAGCAAAGTATTGAAGGTGCAGTGATGGAGAGGAAGTAAGGTGACGGATGAATGTGCGCAAATTTACAATCATTAATAAATGTTTAATTAGCAGGTAGCAGGTGGACTAATTAGTAAATGTTTAGAAAATATTCAGGAATTAACTGTTAGCAGAATGGTTGTGGTTCAAGTTGCTAAGAAGAACAAAGTTCAGTTTGCTTAAGTATTGTAATTTCCACTCGAAATTATTAATTAAGCATCTCTTAATTAGTTGTTTAATTAATAAATGTTGAGGAGATGATGAAGTGTCGAAATGGTGAGATTTGTTAATTCGATGTTTAATCAATAGTTAGCTTTTGTTTTTTTTTTTACTTCGTTTTGTCTTTTTCAATTTTGCTAATCAATTCAATTTTATTTTTTTTTTTTTTTTCTTTTTTGTAGGAAGTAAAACTGTAGATGTTCACGTAAAATTCCAATCGATTTGATGGATGTGAATGTGAATCCGGATCTTATTACTGGTTTGTTTCTTCGTTCCTATTGAATTTTGTCAGAAATGCAAAATGTTTTTATACCAGTTGTTTTACAGAATTCATATTATCCTTCAAGTATACGTAGTTCATGTTTTTCTTCTACTTTATCTTTCCGAAGAAATAACTCATTTGTAGATTTTTTTTTTTTCAAAAAAGTAACAGTTTATATTTAACATATCTAAATATTAATTTTGGTAGACATATTTTTTTTTATTAAAATTGGCTTGTTTACAATAATCTTTTTGTGCTTATCCACATATGTTATAAATCTTTCATTCCTAAAATTTTGCTTCAAAGTTTTTGTTAGCTGATATGTGTATGATGAAATCTTTGGAAGTATTTTAGCTTTGGGTAAGTTATATGGTTTTGTTTGCATGAATCGCATTTCATTAAATTTTAATTTGGATACATTTCAGTTTCATGTTACTTTTTTTAAGAAGTATGGCGGTGTGTAAGGACGAGAACTGTATTTGACGATGAATGCATAAATGTCGATGCGAAGTTAATAAAGGAGTTATTTTCTGTGTTGGAAGAATTGAATCGGCTAACGAAACATGATGATCCTAATTCTGTATTGGAGCGTAGCGATTTTTCCGATTTGGTTCGTTGTAATGTGATTTAATAAAATAAAGAATATGTGGTAGAAGTGCCGTTTCAATTTTTTGATACATAAAAACATACTAACGTTGAAAATCAATTTTTTTTAAATATACTTATCATTTAGCATTAATTTTCTTTCACAGAATAAGCAACATATGTTACGCTTGTGGCATGCAAAACCGGATAACGATATGAAATGGGGTATTGATGTGGTTGTGGCTAATTCGAACATTCGAAAGAGCCTTTATCCGAAGGTTTGGTTGATTGTTGATGGAGAGGAGATTGAAATGAATCTGGAAGTTTTTGCTAAATTAAGGTAATGATTTATATTTTCAAAGTTTTAAAATTTTCGTTAAAAAAAATTTACGTTGCCTGATTCTAGGTGAGAAATTGTTTTGTTTAATTACAGAGCAATAATCCATTAAAGTCTAAAATTAGTTAACTCATTATCTTAAATATTATGTTAGATAAGCTTTTGCAGATTTGAGGTCTCGCGAGCACTGAACCGGATTGATCACTACGCATAATTGTCAACCGAAATGTCCTCATATTTCATAGTATATATTTGTATTTGTAGCGTATATTTGGTCGAAACATGCGCAAGCTTTTAATTAAATTTGAATTAACTAGACGAAACTATCGTTATCTTTTAAATCTATCCGATCAGTCAATTATGGATGCTAGGATTTTCATATAATTCTATCAAAAGAAGGCATGGGATATGTTTTCATTTTTTGTCGATTAAAATTTTTTACCGTGATGAAATGAATCTTTCCCTATTATATAATTCCCTGATTGTCTCGACTGTTCCTTTTGATTTTCCCGGAAGATTTCTACAGCAGTAGATCGTTTTTGTATCTGTTCTTGTTACAGAAGTTTAGAAAGCTTTCTTGTATAATTCATCAAATAATGGATTCGAACAAATTTGATGTGTTTAAATAATTTGCTCTCGAAATAAGGCTAATTCCAGCAAGAAACTACCTGAATATGCACTAAAATATTATTTTATTCGTTCACTCATTTGCATTTGTCTTTCTTTTTATCTAACATTTGCTGATTTAATCATATTTGTCGGAGGTATAAGCCTTTCAAAAGGTATAAGCCGGTGTCTATTTTATTGATGAGTGCTACTTATTTTATATGCTAAATATCCTCTTGTTTTTGTAAAATATTAAAATTTTTAAGCATCAAAGTTTCTTACAGGAAATTACAGTTATTTTTGAATGGAAAAACCTAGAATTGTATGTTTCATCAAAAAGCCCAAAAGTAATGAAATGCAAATGGAAAAATTTTCTTGAAAGGTCATAATTGCTAAAATCAATTTAAATTTTTGTCAGCATGGGAGAATTTTAATGTTTCAGAAGCAACACTCAAAACCGATAAAATCCAACTAAATCAAAGAATGACAGTTTAGGTGATTCCCTATATTTGTCTCGAAACTCGAAATAATTTACAAAATATGTAATAAAATCTGTATTACACCCTTTACACGAATCAGCTTCTTATTCAGTTGAAATAATTTTAATTAAATTTCTGATAAAAATTTTAATAAGAATTTATTAGTTTTTTTCTAAACAATATCAAATCAATTTACAATTTGTTTATACTTCATTTGTGTAGTCGTTATGTTTTTTTTTTTTTTTTTTTTCAACGAATATGAAATATGAATTGTCTTTTCGAAATTTTTTCGTCTATTGAAATCTATTTTTTTTTTCTGCATTTCTAAAAATTAATCTGTTGCAGTTTTGTGGGAAATTCCAAAAACATGACAGACTGATAAATTGTCACCGGGTATTTTGATTAGTGATAAAAACTAAAAAAAATAAATGCTTTATAAAATTTCTTGAAGAATCAGTAGTATTTTTGCAGAAAAAGAAAATTTTGAAGTGAAATTTTTATCAACGGAATTATTGCCATATTAAAAATTGTAAAATGAGCACATAATAAGGCAGAGATTAAATTTTTAAAATAATGGTGTTTTAATAATAAATTAATGATATGAATGTAAAACAGTGGTAACAATTTTCAGCTGTAAAATTATGTTTCATTTGAAAAACTTTTGTATTAGATTTTAAAAATTCATAAATTCACATGCATTTAGTTTATGAACTTGAATATATGCAAATTAAATATATTTAAAATTTTGTTGATGAGTTTTAGTGAAATTAGTTCATTTTAGCAGAAGGAAAAGAAAGAAAAATATTTTCATTAATTAACTGTGGTGTCCGTTTAGTTATTATCACAGATATCCACTTTGAAAGAAAAAAATTAGATTAAAAAAGTTGTAGCATAGAAAAGAAATTGATCAGAATTTTATTAATTTTATGAAATGGTAAAAGTAGTAAAAGATAAAAATGGAGTGAGGCGAAAAAGAAAAGATAAAAAATTATAAAAAGAAAATATGAAAGAAAATAAAAATGGAAAAAATGCAAGAATAATTGTATTTTTGCAGTTCAGTAACATTTTTTGAAATTTTGATGCTTTGTTTTTAACAGAAATGAAACTCAGTTATAGAATAGTACTTTAATTTTTTCTATTTGTTAATATTATTATTTATGTTTGTTGTTGTCTTTAAATAATTTAAATTTGGATGAGCAAATAAATGCCCACTTTTTTCGAGAAGCTAAAAGGTTACACGAAATTTCTCTATTTATTTTCAAAGAACTGTATTTGCAGAACAAAAAAAATTTTATACTATGATAACATGTATATAATTTATAACATTATTTGAACTTTTTTTTTTAACTTAAATTTTTTTTAGAAATTTTTTATTACTAATATCCATAGCAAATAATGTTTGCTTTAATTGTTTTTGGATGCAATAATATAATTTGTCTTTAACTGTTCATTTTCTAAGCTTTTAATTTCAATATTTATTATTATTATTTATATTTCAATCTATTTTGTCTGTCTTATTCTTCCTATTGTTCTTTTTTTATTTTTTTTTGCACTAAAATTTGCTTCATTTGAAATTTAGATAATAATTTCTTCATTTTTACCATTGGATTGGATAATTTGATTAGAACGTATTACAAAAATAATGGAATGGAATTGGTATAAGAATTCAGTATATCATTTCCAATATGTTATAATTATTGCTATTGTCATTTTAACAAAATTTACACGTCCGTGCGCACTGCTGTTTCATAACATTAAAGTACAGAAGATTTTGGCATAGATGCGCAACGGACGCACAGTTTGATCGACCATCTGCTCCAACTCGATCAAAACAACCTGTAGTGTTAATGAAATATTAATTTGTTCAAGTGAAAATGGAAAAATTTGTGTTAAAATAGTAGCTTTATTTCATTTGCTCTGTAATTGCTATGTTCCGTTTTGTTAATTATTTACTGTTTATGTTCTTCTGTAATTCCAAAAGTATAATTACCTGGTATCGGTGGTAGCAATGTAGAAGTAATACTTGAACAACGATTACACGTACGTGGACATTGTTTTGTCATTAAATTGTAATAAATAGGATTGTTACAGAGATGTGCACGTGAGGGACAATCACTGAAACCACCTAATGGGCTATAATCGAAGCATGTTGGATTTGTTGTTATCACTGAAATTTTTTTCATTTTAATTTAATTTTAAATAAAATTTCAAACAGAATTAAAACTTATCATCAAAATTAGAAATGTTACTTCAAAAACAAAAACATTCGAAGTTAATTCTAAAATCGTTTCTTTATAAAAAATGGTATAACTTCTTCATTGCTAATTAGTCATATTTTATGCAGCAATTCATTAAATTACTTTTAATAAATTAAAATCCATTGTTCCTTTATTTATTTATTTGCAATGACGATATATTATTTATATTAGTAATCATTTTTAAAAATGTTTCGTTTTTGTGGCTATTACTAATGCATTTTTCGTTCTGTTAATTTTTAAGTGTTTTTTTTTTTATTCATTTCTATTCGTATTGAAATCAATTTGTGAATTTCATCTATAACTAACAATCATAAATTATATAATAAAAAGACTAAATTTATATACAACTATTTTTAATCTCTTTTTTCTTCTTTTTCATCAAAAATATTTCATATCATTAGATATGAAATGAATATATTTCAGTGATATCTTCTACTCTTATCATATCAGCGATCGATTGCATTATGCATTATTTTATTTAAATTATCACTCCTTTTAGCACATAATTTGTATGATTATAATAATTCATTTATACTTATAATAAATATTGAAATTTATTAAAATTTGCAGCGGAAAAAGGAGTACAACAACAATAAAAAAAAAAATAAAATAATTCAGAATAAAAAAAAAGAAGAAAACATCAAAACATACTCTTTGTTGTGATACTCGCTAATAAGTCAAGACAGTTGTCAACTACACACGTTAAACTTTTTTCACATATACCATTAAAGCAGGCTGAAAATGCATTCAAAAATTTATTTTATTTCCGAAACATTAAAGTGGATTCATTTTTTTTATCAATTATCATATCAATTTTCAATAATTTCACTTCAAATTACAAATTATTCACCTTAGTTTTTCGTGCTATCACAGCTATTTCTCATTTATTCGAATATTTTCATTCCTTCTTTTTCTTTTTTGTTTAAATGAAATGAAATGAAATATGCGAAAATTTCAGTGAAATATTATAAACTTACGTCCATGAGCTGGATAACATTGATTATTATAGCACAGCTCATTTTTGTAACATCCTCTTGACGTTCCGTTTAAGCAGTCTTAATTAAAACTTAGAAGAAATTTTAGCTAAAAAAATTTTTTGACAAACTAAACTTTTCCAAAATTTCAAAACTTTGCTTAATATTATCGAAAAAAAAAAGAAAATTTTTTTATCCCAGCAAATATTGTAACTATAATCTATTTCTGATGAAATAAACAAAATTCATTATTAAAAATCAATTGTAACCTGATTTTGTGCTTCCAACTAGTATGAAAACAATGGTAATAGAATAATAATAAAGAATAGCCATTTATTTAATAACAATAGCTTCTTTTCAAAAGAAAAAAAAAATTAATGGAAAAAATTTATTTGGTAAATTTATTTTATACACATTTATGTTAGTAATGTTTGTTTTATCATTACGACTATCCTATTTCTTTCTTTTTTTTTGTTTATTACCAAATAGGAAATGAATTTTTCTCACTGTAACTATCAAAACATTTGTCAAATTGCTTATGCGTAAAAATATGTTTACTTTATCATCAATCACTTTGTTAATAGTAATACTATTATTACAAATATTGAAAAAATCAAATGGCATGAAAAGTTCTCTTTTTTGGTTCAAAATTACAATTGAACAAATATTGTAATATTACATAACATGAGATGTTATCAATTAAAACAGCTAAGCAAATATTTTTGTTTCTTGTTTTTTTAAATCTAACTTTGGCCATTTTTCGTTTCATTTTATGATTTACCATAATTATGGTTTATTATTTATTATTTTTATTATTAGTTCTAATAATATAACAAATAATGATTATTTTGATTTTACTACTAGAGGACGAAATGAATAAATTACAACATTCTGCTATTTTTGTTTGGTTTTCAGAAAGTTTTTTTTTGTTAAAAAGCTAATTTTAGCTAGCAAATTTGGCAGCTTTTTTTTAATGCTACATCACAGAGAATAAATAAAATAAATATGCAATTGAACTGAATCACATATAACTTAATTGAAATATGCAATTCTTTATTGTTATAGTAACAAAACTAATAATATTTTCATCACAATATGAAATGCACCCGGACATCACTACAATGTGACCATTACAGTAGTTAATAATTATTGAAGAGTAATTAATAGTAGTACCACAATCCCTACCTTCAAACCTTTTTTTTTGGTAGCAAAGAATATTCATATTCTGCTATTCTATTTATTTCCTTTAAAAAAAAAAAAAAAAAAAAACTATTTAGGAAAGGTCATCTTTTCACATCAATTTTCTAAATTACTTTTATTTTGTAACCAAAAAGTGAAATGAGAGAAAGCTTTATTCGTATTTTATAAAACATAATTTTTCTTTTTTTTTGTTTTCCTCATGCAAATTGTGCGCTTCGTAAGGTAGTTCATATTATGAATGACAACAACCGAGAAAGATAGAGTGACGTAGACGAATTAAATATACACAACGTTACTATGGCTATGCTAACAATAATAAGGACAACGGTAATGCGCTAATCAACTGGTATAAGTAACAGTAATAATTATAACGATAATGACAATAAAAAAATAATCGTGATAATAATATTAAAAATTAATAATAATAGTAATTATTAATGACAAAAAAAAAATAATAATAATGATAATAAATATATAAATTATAGTAAATAGTGGGCTGGAACAATTGATATACATAAAATCAATTCATAAAACCATCCTAAAGTTTTTCCATTAGCTATTTGAGAAGCTAGTGAAAAGACAACTTCAAGCTGAACTGAGGAATGATCATTATAAATCAGTTACAGTGAGCAAAAGTAAATTCAACATAAATCTTTAATCATCCCATATAGCAAAGCAATAAGACTAAGTCTTAGTACAATAAAAGTACTTAAAATATGCTAAAATTTAGTATCATAAAACAAGGAAAAAAGTTCCACAAATAAAAGCTACCATTTCATTACACCCGCGGTTGTATCACAAATAAAAAAGGAAAAGATGCTTTAGGGATCCTATAATAACTTAAGTACCAAAATACCAAAATATTAAAAAGTTGAAGTAGGAAATACACATTAAGAGAAAATGTTTTAAAATATACTCGGACATTTAGACCAATCACCAATTTTCTTCATCTTCCAATATTCACCGGTAAATACATGTATCAAAGCACCCGTTTCTTCGTGTTGATCTTTTTTAAACCATAATGGTTTATATTCTTCAAATGGTTCACCTGAAGCAAAGGCAAAATAAAAAATCTTCAAAAAATAACGAACTCTTTAATAAAAAAACGAATCATTTTATTTCATATTTAACAGCTCATCTCTAATCATTAAGTCCTAATCCTAAAAGAGGATTGAAGTCGTAAAGTTAATGTAAATGGGATGAAGATCGGTATAAGAATATCACATTACTTTCAGAAGAATATGTTTACTATTTTTAAATTCTTTTGATAAACAAGAAATTTATAAAAAGAATTAAAAAAAAAGAGCAACGAAAAGAAATTGAAATAAGTCTCGTTTCCATATATAAATAAAGAAAAGGCATTATGTTTGAAATAATTTTGCAAAGATAAGAAATACCTCTTTGTAAAGCTTTTTGTGCTAAAATTTCTCGTTCTCGACGAACTGCACGCTGCTTCTCCTCAATTTTTACTTTCATTTCATTTGCTTCATTCCATTTTCCGTCTTCCATTAATCGTTGATCGGGACGAAGTCGTGAATCTGTTGGAGCTACACCTTCTTCTGGTTCATTTAATTCAATTGCCAGCTTTGTGAAATAATACATCTTCTCACTATTTTCTCTGAAATTCTGATCATATATAGTCTGAAGAGAAATCAAAAAATAAGAAAAAAAAGAATTTCAAAATTAAGAAAATTAAACATTTGTGCAATAGGAACTAATTTTTACTTGTGAACACTACAAGATTTCCATTGGATATTAGAGGAATCAAATCACTTTATTGTCCGATTTTTCGAGCGAATTATAAGACATAATTTGAAAATTAGTTTTCATTATGAAATAGCTAAAAAATTTCTATGTAAATAACACACATTGATGAATTGATCGTCCAGATTCGATTTGGTGTATCCGTCTCAAAGCGTGCATTCTCACCAGTGTTAACTTCATTTGTGACCTTAAGTATATCCAAATAGCTATCCCAGATACCTTGGATAAGCCAGTGAACTTCCCCAATTGGATTTTTCACGAAACCAGCTATCTTCAACAGTAAGATTTTCTTAAAATAAACAACAGCAAGAATGATTTTAATAAAAAAAAAATAAATCTTTTTCTAATTACATATACTTCAATTTTACTTCTAATGTTAGTCACAAAAATGGAACTCAACAATCTATGTCCTCTTTACCTAGAGATTCAATTGCGCTGGATAATTTTTTTTTAAACATAAATCCAATACAAGTCATTGTAATAAAAAGATAATTTAAAGATCTTCTGATCGAAGCATTTTTTTTTCTACAATTTACAAAACATAAGTTATAAGAACAAAGAAATTTAACCTTTCGCGGAGGTTCACGCGAAAAATAGCTGTATGGATGGAATTTCAAGACACATTTATCACCAGTCTTGTGATTTTCAATTAACATCTCACCGTGATTATCTATCCATAGTTTACCTACGATGATATTATGTACTGTGGTAGTAACTTTCTTATACGAATATTCATTTCCGCTATCAAGAAACTGAAACAACGATTTTTTAATACAAATAAAAGAAAATTATATTAGATACCAATCACCATTTATTATCTTATAATGATTAATTTTAAATCAGTACAGTAACTATAATGAATACTTAGTTATAAGGAAATAGATTTCTTAGTAATCCGAAAATTTGACATTTCATATTAGAAATTAATACTAATTTACCTTAACATATGTATAACCGACAGGTGTTACTGATAAATATTTTCCACGAAAACGTGATGTCATCGAGAAGTCCTGGTGCAAAGTCCATTTACGGCCATCAGCATGATGTGCTGTTATTGGTGGATGATGACTTACCTAAAAACTTTATCGAAACTACTTTATCGTATTGTATTTCATAGTATAGACGAAGTTTGGAAAATCTACCCATTAAAACAATTATAAAATTATATGGAATGTTATCTAAGGTCAGCAAGGAGTACCTCGTCACATAGAGCATAATTCCATTTTAATTTAGGCAGGGAAAAATCCAGAAACAATTTATACCCACTTGTTCGGCAAAAGAACGCCAACCAAGATCATCGAATCGATCACACTCAAATGTTTCACCGAGTAAAGGATTGAAAGGTTTCGTTGTACGATAACCCGTCGTCGAATATGCACTAACTGCAAATGCCGCTACATAGCACATTTGCTCAAGTGAATCTGCCTTTTCTGCTCCTTCATCTAATAAGTAAGAATATTCGAGATCCTCAGAAATCCTTTGTAGCACAGAAAGTGGTTCACTAAAATTCACCTGCAAAAATTTAGATGAGAAATGATAGATTTGTGTTATATCTCTGCAGAAGTGTGTATAAATTTATGGAATTGTTGCATGGGCTATATTCAAGGAAGTTTGAATTAAATAATTCTACAGCAATGCGTGCATTGAAAAAAAGAGCACAAATAAAAGCATGAATAATTTCGATGATTTATTTAATTATCACACAACGGATGCTTTCCTCCCCAATCATTATAATCTCTTAGGCATTAGCATAACTTGTCTCCTATCCTACAACTGATTGTAAATTAATGATTATTTCCTTCCAAATAATCTGTGAATTTAAAAATTAGCATACAGGCATCGGGATTTTGCTCAATTCTTTGCCAATACAATTGCGCATAATAGACCACAAACTGATAGAAGTTTGTGGTCTTTCGGGTATTTTGGTACGACGCTGTCGTGAATGTTGGGTTGTTGGAGCAGAACGGGTTAACCTGGTTTCCGACTGCAAAAATATATTACTGTGTACCGTTATTGTTTCATTTTTAACAATAACGGATAAAATTAGAAATCTATACCTTTACTATTTTTGGATAAATAATTTCCGCATTAAATAATTTCGAATTTGTCACTTCACCAATAGATTCAGTCTGAGAAGAACTAGATTTTCTGAAAGATGAAAACAAAATTAAAGATACGATGCTATTTCAGATAATAATTCCCAATGTTTACGCAGCAGTATGCTTTTCTATTAGTTGCAAAACTGCAAAATATTAATCATCCTACCTGCCATCATCATGCATATCAGAAACATAATCATATGCATCATGAAATTCTTCTTCCGCATCCAAAAATGCTATAATAAATCATCTTTTAATAAAATAAGAAAAACTTTATCATTATTATTTAAAAAGTAGAACCAGAAAAGTTCCAGCAATATACTACCACTTGCTTATCACTGCAAGACATCGTGAAAGTTGCAGATATTCCATATCAATTCTAGAAGATGCGAGAAGAGATGAATTTTAATTACAATTTTCCTTATCAAAACAAATATCTTATTATATAAAAGGAAAAAAAAAAAAACACTGATTTTGACTTTCATAAAGATTTTTGTAAGATTTACGTGGTTCTGAAGCAACACTGCCTTTGTGTGTCGAACGATATGCCACACGTTCAAGTTTACTATGTTGTTGCGCAAGCTCTTCTAATTGATCTTGCAATCTGAGGCGTTGTTCATGTTCATTTGCTGCATAACGTCCAACTTTTTTCGATTCCTATACTGTTTAATCGATAAGATTAATTTGAATAATAAATAATTAGCTTCCTCACCTTATTTAGCATAAACCTAGAGCAATTTGATTTAAGTCTAAAAACTCTTTTTCAGAATTTTAAAATGTACAAAACAGCCAACTTGTAAAGTTATTTAGGTTATTAACTGCGGACAAAACCTATATCATTCTACAATTTAAAAGATTTCGTTTAAGTTTTCAAATCCTCATTTATCAGCTTTTTCTTTTTAACTCTACGTTCCTTAATTTATTTTATTGTTAAAAGTTTCCGATTATTAGTATAAAATTTCATTTCTTTCTTTTTTGATAAAATTTCGGCCATTTTTCTTCTTTTGAAATGTCTTTAAAGAAAAAAAAAAAAATCATACTTCAGCAGTAAGAGTGACAAATTCTTCGCAAGCTTTCATCATCGCAGCAGTTGTAATTTTAAATAAGTTGATGCGTTCAGCCAACGCTTTAATTTTTCCGGTCTTTTCTAGGTCACTCATTGCTTTCAGAAGTTCCGATCCATGTTTCGCTAAAATTTTTGAATAAATTAAGATTCTCTGCAAAACTGGTTTTTTAAATACATTTGTGATTTTTTATTTGATATATAATCTAAAAATTGCAAATCAGATGAACCAAATTAAAGTCCATCTTGAAAAATAAATAAACGAATCAGAGCTGAAAATCGGAGTAAACAGTATACTGTTTTCTGCTTATCGGATCACATAGATAAAATCCCATTTTCGTAAACTGAATGTAAGCAGTAAAAAATATTTTCGTTTAATAGCATTGTCAATAAAAAATCAAATACAAAAAAAGAAAAGGAAACCATCCCAGAAAATTATTACAACCTAATTTGAAATAACAACTTCTAACAATTCTTTTAATAGCCTCTAATAATAAGTGAAAAAAAAAAATAAAATAAAAACAGACAAATAAGAGAGCTGCATGTTCTTAAATCAAAAATTTTGGCAGCAATTGCTCGATTCATTGTTTCTATAGCTGCAGCACCACTGTTACCAGATACGCTCATCTTAATATCATCATCTTCATCTGTAAGACGACAAAAAAGAAATATCACAAAACAGAATTCATTTCAGATTATGTACAACGCTAGCAGAAAAAATATTCAATAATACTTTAACTAGCAATCGTTTATAACAAATCTGATCCATGAAAAATCAGATATCAATTATCATTCATTCGCTTCTTTAATTCGTAATCATGATAATAAAGATCATAATGATGATGATAGAAAATGATGAACCGATAAATTGAAATTTTTGAGATAAATTGGCTTAAATATCTCCTAACATCTTCTAACATATTTCTGTATTCTTACTATTTCCAATGCAAGATAAGATGATGTAGAATTTTCCCAGTAATAATTTTAGGAAAACTGTTATTCGAAAAAAAAAAAAAAAACACGATAAAAGGATAGAATAAAAGGGATTAAATTAAAATTTCTCACTGAAAGTTCTCGCAAACATCGTTTGTCGTCAAGAAGTAGTTCCCTTTAATTTCTATTGTTTGAATCACAGTGTTAATTATTTTCATGATACGAAGTCGGAAAGCATAAAGGAAAAATTCATAACATGATCGAAAGAGTAGGAAATAAATTGGCGGAATAAAAATCAAAGAGAATTTTTTCTAACAAACCTGATTCAGCATCACGAACAGCGCGATGACGAGCACATTCGAGTGCATGGAACCATTTGTCGTGATCCAATTCATTTTGAGCTTTCAAATGAAATGTTTGTGATGGTGCAGAAATTGTCAAGCTGTTCGTTGCTTTGTCTGCATGAATACGAGCCTCTTGCAAATTGATACTGCCGCGACATGACTGTCCTACTTCAGACGAATTCCTGCAAAATTTTTGGTAAATATGATTCATGTTGTTATAATTTCTCTAAATGTAGTTTTCCATTAAAATTTACTTTGAAACACTCGAAAATTAAAGAATCAAATTAGAAAATCATACATAGTCGTATCAATACACATCATTTTTAAAGAAACAAATGATCAACATTTGACCCACCACTAATCTCCTATCATAATATCATCGATACTTTAATAGACATTATATTTCCAACATTATCTGTCAATTAAATTTTTTTCAGAAATGCTCCAACAATTAGTACAGCAATAACACATTTTCTTATGAAGGTGGGAAAGACTTATGTTGCATACATTTTTCGTGCTCGCCTTTTTTTTTTTTTTTTTTAATTTTTAAAACTTAAAAAAAAAATCAATTTATTTGAAAAAATCCGAAAACATTATGGAAATTTTTACAGAAATACCTTGGTGACGATTTACAACTAAAACACAGCAAAGGCATTCTTCCAGTGGTTCTATACTAACATCGGAAATTGAGCAAGAAATTCTGACAAACAGACAATGATACAAGATGTAAAGCAGAAAGGTAAATTTCTTCACTGAAATTTAAGAACATATGTTTGCGAATTTCATTTATCCACTCATGTCGTTATCTCATTATATTATCTCATCATCAAGAAAATCATACAGAAAAAATAAAAAAAAAATCAGAAAAAAAGAGAAAGACAATGTTTATCAAATCTTTTTATTATTTATTTCTTTTACATTAAATAACAAAAAAATAGAATTAAATTTGTTAGAAGATATTAAGTAAAAGAGAGGTACATTATATAAGACATTTTTTGTTGTCGATTTATTTCCATTGTATTAAATAACAAAGCAAAAAATTCTGACGATGAAAATCATATAAGTATGACGATTATTCCGCGTTAATCAAAGTTTCAATGATAGTAGTGCTTATTGTGACATGAATCATGAAATTTCTCAATAAATATTTTAACTTAATGTAATGTATCAGTGCTATTAAATTATGGTCGGAACTAAATTTTATTTTCTGAAAAGTGAATTGAGTCGAAATTTTTGTTTATTGTTCTTTAGTGAATTTTCATTTTTATCATTTTTACTTCACTTTAAGAATGTATGGTGTAAAATAAAATAAATCTTAAAAAAAGTGTTTCATACTTTATTGAACTATTTCTTCTAATATAATTTTTTGAGAAATATAATTTACAATCTTTCAGCTTACTTAGTCATGCCAATACTAAATGAACCTTTTTGCTAAACTCACTCGCAGTTCAATTCAAAAAGAACCAGTGTGACGTTAGAAGTGATTTCTTATCTACCATTTTCAAATATATGCAATTTGCATATTATGTTCTGGGAACTGTAAGCCTAAGAAAAAAATCCTAAATAAATAGGAACTGATCATAAATATACACCTCACATTCATTGAGGGAATAGTTTTATATCAACATACTAGTTCTATCTAACCCGAAATCTAATTAATGATTGCAATAGATTTGGAATGGAAAAAAAAAGATAACTAATCAAATTAATGCCATAAAATAAAACGAATGTTTGCTTTCTCAAAAATTTAAACATATTTTTTTTTCTTTTCACGAGCACCTCCAAGTTCAATTATTCATTATTATAAATTGCTTATAAGAAATTTTCTAAAATCTTGACATTAAAAAACGACATGATGAATATGATTTCAATTCATAATTGTATCCAAATTGTAACCAACCAATTCAATTTCTGATCGCAATTTCTATTCCTTATTCTAATTTAAAAAGAAAAAGGTTTTAAATAGAGTAATAAGCGTTTTTTTTTCTTTTTTGCCCATGATAATGAATTTAATTAAAAAATAAGGCGAAACTATGAAAAAATTAGACAACTAAATATTTTTGTGGCAAGGCTAATTTTTTCTTTTTCTCTAGCTACTATAGTGATGCATAGAGTATTTAACAAAAAGAAAAAAAAATGCTTGTAAAATATTGGATAGAAAAGCCATTGCATTCATTAGGATCTCTAATATGTAAACATGACAATTCATATGTCAACTGCAGGAATAAAAATCTCAAGAAAAAAAAATTTGCTGAAATTGACAGACCATCAACATATTTGCCAAATAAATAAAAAACATTCAAATTTGGGATCCAGGCTTAAAAGTTTCTCTTTGATCTCGAAGTATATACATAAGTTATCTGGTTTTGTTAAAAAATATATATATATATAAAACAAGCGTCCCGAAATATTTATTTTGTTCTGAAATTAATGCAAACAATCTTTAAAACTACAGAAAGTAAAACTGCTGAACATTTCTAACACATCTGAAATCATAAAAGCCACAGCAAACTGTTTTTGTGCTTGGACATTTTAAAAAGAATGTAAAAGAATCACTATTAGCAAAGATGAGAAGTCATACACCAAATGATGATAAACAGCACAGAATTCAACTAAATCAATATACTCAAACAAATCAGATCAAATTTTCTTTCTTTCTAAAAGCTCTCATCTATACTGGGTCCCTTACATATCTAAGAAAAATACCAACTTCCAGATATCCGGCAAAAAAAAAATCTTTTCCTAAAAATAGGAACAATATGAAGTAAATGAAACTTTAGATTTCTATCAGCCTGTTTTTGTTTCAGAACATCAAAACTTAACAGCAAATTCCTAATCGAATCGACAATATACCAACTTCGACAAAAACGTACATTCTCATATTTAAAGAAGAATCAATAAATGTGAGATAGTGTATTAGCAAAGTCTTTAACATTTGAAATATTTTTTTCATGAAATTCAGTTGAAATAAAACTAACCTATAATAACTTAGATTAGCACACGAATCGAGCACAAACCAACGTTGACGATATCCTTTGATATAATTTGTCCACTTCAATAGCCAACCACATTTCTCGCCTAGTTCTAGTGATAAATCTGAGGAGCGTGAAGTTCCAATTGGCATTTAAAAATGGTTTTTCCCAATTTTGAAATCTGTAAACAAGCTTGATAGAGCAAATTTGACAATTTAATTTATAATAATTTTTCGTATGTCGTAGAAGTTATTAAAATCATGCATTCGTCACATAATATGACAGACATATATGGACACATAGAATTTCACGAAAAATTCAAGTTTTATAAAAATTATTTTCGTAAAGGATTTAAAAATAACTAATAAAATTTTGAAATCAGACAAACGTAAAATCACAATGTAAAAATAATTCTTATACTATAATGTTGATTTTGTTAAAATGGCGCTAATTTTATAAAAAAAAAAAAAAAAAAAATAAATAATAAAAAAAGAAATAAGATAAAAGTATAAATAAGATAAAAGAAAAAAAGAACTTTAATTTTGACGATAAAAAAAGAAATGCATGTAAAATATATAAATATGAATATCAAATAAATGTATACAAAATAGATAGAGAAAAAGAAATGTGCTGAAACGCTACGAAATGTTTTATACTTGTATAATTAACAATCAATTTTAAATATTGATTATATCACTGTTATTAATAAATATTTTATTCAGTCCTTAGTGAAACTTTTAAAATTGCTAGAAACTCTGGAAATCCTCAAAAATCCCAACCAATCTAATTATTGGAAGTCAAGCCGAAAAAAACACAAATTAAAAAAAAGTGGCACTACAATTCATAATGAATACGTTTTGTCTATGCAACATCCCAAGTGAAGTATGCTACACGGATGAAACGAATAGATCATTTGGGAATTTAATTTAAATGCAAAAGAGAAAAGAAAAAATTTTAAATGATTGAAATATTTAATGGTTGTTACTTATAGACAGTTTTTACAGAATTTATTAAGTATCCAGAACATTATAATAAGTAGAACTTTAGGTGCTCAGGATGCTGTGGATAGAACTTGAAATACCCCTGGAAGTGATTAGGATTCTATAGTAGGTAGAACCTGAAATAGACAACCTGAATGTGTCTATGATACTATAAAGAACCTAAATTGAATTACCTGAAAAGGTCCATAATACTATAATAGAAAGAACTGAAATAGAAATCTGAAAGTGTCTATGATAAATAGCAGAACACAAAGTAAACTGATGATGCCATTTGCAAGTACAGTCGTCTCATACCGATCATTTAATTAAACTAACAAATCAGTAGAATATCGGTTAAAACATTACATTTACGTCTAATAACATCTTACCCAATGTTCATTCAATAACATCTTACCCAATGTTCATTCAATAACATCTTACCCAATGTTCATTCAATAACATCTTACCCAATGTTCATTCAATAACATCTTACCCAATGTTCATTCAATAACATCTTACCCAATGTTCATTCAATAACATCTTACCCAATGTTCATTCAATAACATCTTACCCAATGTTCATTCAATAACATCTTACCCAATGTTCATTCAATAACATCTTACCCAATGTTCATTCAATAACATCTTACCCAATGTTCATTCAATAACATCTTACCCAATGTTCATTCAATAACATCTTACCCAATGTTCATTCAATAATGTTCATTCAATAACATCTTACCCAATGTTCATTCAATAACATCTTACCCAATGTTCATTCAATAACATCTTACCCAATGTTCATTCAATAACATCTTACCCAATGTTCATTCAATAACATCTTACCCAATGTTCATTCAATAACATCTTACCCAATGTTCATTCAATAACATCTTACCCAATGTTCATTCAATAACATCTTACCCAATGTTCATTCAATAACATCTTACCCAATGTTCATTCAATAACATCTTACCCAATGTTCATTCAATAACATCTTACCCAATGTTCATTCAATAACATCTTACCCAATGTTCATTCAATAACATCTTACCAATGTTCATTCAATAACATCTTACCCAATGTTCATTCAATAACATCTTACCCAATGTTCATTCAATAACATCTTACCCAATGTTCATTCAATAACATCTTACCCAATGTTCATTCAATAACATCTTACCCAATGTTCATTCAATAACATCTTACCCAATGTTCATTCAATAATATCTTACCCAATGTTCAGTCAATAACATCTTACCCAATGTTCATTCAATAACATCTTACCCAATGTTCATTCAATAACATCTTACCCAATGTTCATTCAATAACATCTTACCCAATGTTCATTCAATAACATCTTACCCAATGTTCATTCAATAATATCTTACCCAATGTTCAGTCAATAACATCTTACCCAATGTTCAGTCAATAACATCTTACCCAATGTTCATTCAATAACATCTTACCCAATGTTCATTCAATAACATCTTACCCAATGTTCAGTCAATAACATCTTACCCAATGTTCAGTCAATATTCTTATTCATTATCACCCAATCTTATCTAAAGTCTACCCAATAATATTTCATTCAGTTATTTATTTAAATACATATTTGCCGACTTTCATTTACCAATTAATAATCAAATTCTAATTTCATTTTTAAATTCGTCTTAGGCGAAAAAGAAAAGAATTGTTTTCATCGACGAAAAGTGCTTGAAATGCTTACAATGGAGAAAAAAAAAAATGAACCGAAGAAAATAAAAATTAAAAGGCTTTAATTTAATTTACCACATGTTTTCGTTTTTTTTTTTTTTTTTCATTTTAGTTTAAAATGATATTTTTTGGTAGTTTGAAATTTTTTAATTACGCAAAAATCGTTTAGCTGAAATAATTAAATTTGCGTATTTTCTACACAAATATACTTTATTACTTCATCTCATTTCTTTCGCTCGAATGAAAAATTTCGATTTTTCCTTTCTTTCAAATTATATAACAAGCAAATAATTTTTGCTGCATATTACTCAATAATAATAAGTTTTGAACTGAATCAAAATTTTGAAATTTAATCAAACTTTTTTTCAATTATTTTGATTACATATTTCATTTTTGATTTATTCAGTCTTTTTTATTTTTAATTTTTATGCTAAGTTAGCAATAAATATTTACTATTTTGAAGAAAAAAAGATAGTAATAATAAATAAAGAGAAAAAACGGAAAAGAAAAATTTGCAAGGAATTAATGCCAAATTGCTATTACTTCAATAATTATCAAAGGAACATACCATCATAGATTATTTAACAAACTGATTTAAATATTTTTCGTTTAAAATGGGGTCACTAAATCAGCTGAAATCTGATGTTATCACTAATACTCGTTATAGTTTATATTTCTCATTCATGTTTTGTTATCAGTTAATCATCTTACTTCGATAATAGATTTAAATATTCCAGAAAAGAGAAGAATATTTTTAAATTCCCTTTCATTTTATTAAGTAAAAGAAAAAATTTTTTAATTAACGATTTTTTGTTCCTACAAAATTTCGCTTTTTTCTGCATCATTTAATCTATTTTTTAAACTAATCCACTGAAAATACAATATTTGATTATAAGCTAATTACCAGTTTATTGCTAAATTTTAATCGTTCTTTTCTTTCAAATAAATTTTATAATACTGAAAACACTGAGTTATTATTGATTTATTATCAATTATCATTGTCATTACCTTTCAGACAATATAAAAAAGCACTTTATTTGCGATACATTATCAGTTATCACTGTCATCCAAATATATCTAAAAAATATCAGATAAAGATCAGCTGAAGATGATCAAAAATATAAAACAACTGATTGCAACATGCTCTATTTTGTTTAGATTAAAAGTTCAAATTTGCATAAAGGAAATGGTTGATAAATTTTCTCAAAGGTATTGTCAAAAATGGAAATAACAGAAATAATAAAAAAAATTTCATATTTTTTCCTGTCGGTGAACCGAAATGAAATGAAACAAAATAAAATAAATAAAAATATAAATAAATGAACTACTTCTTATCAAAATCAACATTTCATTTCAATATTACCTTATCTTACACATTTGATTAACTAATTTTTTTCTATTTAATTTGGTGCAAAGTTAATTAATCAGTAGCTCCAATTTATTATTAAATGTAATTTGCACATTTATTCATATGTGTGCTTATTGATATGACTGTTATTTAAAATTCATTACAATATCAATGAAATGTGACAAAATAGGGACTTTGCTTTGTCAGTCAAATCAAAAACTTCCTATTTCTCATTTTTATAATTACCATACTTCAATCATATTATTCATATTAAAAATTAAAATGAAATATTTGCAATGACCATAAATCAACAAAAACTCATTCAAATTGTGAGAAGAAAGGGAAAAGAAAATAACATATGAATAATAAATAAAAGATAGTTTAAAACATTGAAAACATTTTTTTCTACTTTTATTTCATTGAAATATTCATTTTCTCTCTTTTTCTTTTTCGTTTCATTTCCTCTCTTACACTTTTTTTTTTTCATTGGGAAAACAATAAATTTTGGGAATGTAAATTTTTTTCCCGACTACCTTTGATTTTTTTTTTATTTTGATTGATAATATTATATATATTAATTCGAATTATTTATAAATTTGCATTATCATTAATTTGGTTGTAATTATTAGCTTTGTTGATGACATCAATGATTATTTTCGGTATTACTTTGTTCTTTAACTTGTATTACTATTATTAATTTTTTGGGTATTATTTTAAAGTGATATTTGGATTGTCATTAATATGAAAAGAAATAAGAGAAAAAGCTATTAATGTAAGCAATTTATTTATTTCTGTTTCTTTGTCTTGAAATTATAATTTGAGTTTTTCTTTTTACTTTTTTCCGCTTTTTACTTTTTTCCGCTAAATGCCTTATTTGTTGTGATTTATATTTTAGTGTCTTTCATACATTAAAACTTCCCTCATTTTTATAAAATAACAGATTTTCATGTCTTCACGTTTTGTTTTTATTTTCATTTAAAAAGGAAAATATATAAAAATTTCAATTCAGTGTCCACAATTTTGCAAATGTATTAAATAAGGAAATATAAAGGGGAAAAATTATAATGGATATAAAGTAAAAGGTGTGAAAACAATGAATGTAAACAAAC